CAGGAAAAAAGGAGCTCTGGGCAATTGGGGATTGGGGTCTTCTTTTCAGAAGATGGCCTTATTTATTTATACATTTTTGATCCTCACAAACTCACCATTGGGAACAAGTGAATATGGGAAGAATTATAATTCAGTTTCCATTTGCTAAATGTCAGTAAACAAAAAAAGTCACTTTAAAATGATTTTTGTTGTTTCCCTATCTGGAAGCATAAAATGATGATTGTTTCTAAAGCCAACAATTAGCTGGTTTACTTGCAAACAATCCAAATACCTTGCAATGTTTATTTTCTAATCTAGCCAAGTGTGAACATCTCCCATCTGCTGTCTTTATCCATTTTAATTCCGTATATGATTGTCTTAAAATTCACATTGTCAAACAAAATGGGCCTGAAGCACTGGATGAAAGTTGGGGAAGAAAACATGACCTACAGACAGAATAGCATTCACTTCAAAGGCAGATTAAAAAGTGCTTCTTTGAGGAGGTCAATGTTTGGGCAATGCTTCGTAGGGACTCTGTCCAAAAAATTTGACCAGTAGGTTACAGTACACTCACAGGGTCCTTCTGCTACTACTCTAAGCCAGTAACTTGCTACTGACAAGACCTGGCTGACAATGCTACCATAGCTGCATGGTGAAGAGGCTCTCTCTGGTCAGCTGCTTTCAGGAGCCCTGGTAACAGCAATCACTCAGGTTTCTGGAGCTACATAGAAGCTGCCCCTCGCCAACCACACATTGGGCACTGGATGAATGTCTGGGTCACGCCAGGCACTGGGGAAGCAATATGCCTTGTCTTTATCTTTTGACTTCTCAAAATAGTTTGAGCCTGGAATTTGCCCCACCTCTTTGGAAGCTGCATTCTTCATCTTTTACAAGTCTCTGTACTTATTCACCTCCCTTGGTATAAAGTTGTCTTTATACAAATGCTTCATGTCTTTTTCCATGAGATGAGGGTTAGATAAGGAATCCCTAAACAAGCTCTATTCCCTACTCCCAATTTCACAGAAATAGGAGGTGATCACAGAGAACGTGAAAGGTAAGAATTTTAGCTAAAATTGAACAGGCATTCACAAGCTGTCTCTCTCCCTTTTTTCTTTCCAAAATCCTAGTGCAACTAAAATTTGAAATACAGAGCCACATCATAGGCTAAAAAGATCGTTTTATCATTGGACCTTTGTGGTCTGATTATCAGGTGAAAAGGCCACAACAAATCCTTTCTGTTCAATTTGTTATTTTTGGTGCAAAGCATTCTCTCTCCCTCCCTCCCTCCCTCTCTCTCTCTCTCTTTCTGTCTTATGGGACAAGAACTCCATACGCTTGCAAAAGCCTCAGCTGCTTTTTCATTTGTCAGCTCACTGTATCAATGCTAAGCATCTTTCCAGACTTGTTGTCTGTCTGTCAAAATGACTGTCAGCCATAATTTTCCATAGAGATGCACCTGCTGTCTTGGCTCAGGGTAAACAGAGGAAAGCTCCTTCTGAAGGGATGTGCTTCAACAGTCACTGATTTGCTGTCTCCTGTTCCTCCGAGGCATAGGAGCTGGGGCCAGGGTGAAGCTTTCCTGTACTGACAGGATGAGGTGAGACATCACACACTCACATGAGCACCACTTTTCAATTAAGAAGAAAGCTTCGTTAACTTTTAGTATGAAAGCAATGAACTAGATTTTAAATCACATGCTATTAGTCAAATGCTGCCTGCCTAGCTAGGTTTTTTGTTTTGTTTTGTTTTGTTTTTGTTTTTGTTTTTAAAAACCAGTGTACCTTCACATACAAAAGTTGCTGCCAGGACTCTGGAGGTTGTGTGATCTTCATTTTTGAAATGATTATCCATGGACTCAGAGGCCATGCAAACTAGGAACATCCACCAGGCACAGGTCAGAATCACAAAATCACCCACGTCCTGCTTGCAAAGCTCAAAAGAACATGCCAGCAGGACTATCATCCACCACAGTAGTCATCTTTGCAGAGTGCAATCTAACTGTAATGACACGTAAGAGGCCCTTTGTCACAAAGATGCTTCTAAGGTATGTGTCTTCCCACCAATATGAGCAGTGACATCCAAGCGTGAACCCAGCGTGAGCAGCGTGCTTCAGTCGAAAATACGATCTATTCAAAACTATGTCAGCTTCCGCCAAAGGATGATTAATATCATTTGAAAAGTATCATACGTACATATGTGATATAATATATGATATGACATAATATAAAAATGCAATCTCATAACACATTTAGTGGTGGAACCTGAGGAATTTTGCCCAAACAGCCAAGGCTTAGGGAGCTTGCCTAAGCCTTGACCGCATGCCAGGGTGCTGCCCAGCTGTCTCAGCCCATACTTCGCTGCATTGCCGCTCAGAAATAAAAGACAAAAATAAAGATCATTTGAAACAAGTTGTTCCTGCCTGCAGACAGAAACCAGGGACCTTTCTCAAAGAATCTAGCATATTCATTGTACCTGCTTCCAAACTATCTTAAACAAAAAAGAAAAAGAAATTAAAGAGAGAGAGAGAGACACATGTCTTGCAACCCAGCAAAGCAAAAGGAGAAATGTAGGTTTCATGTATATTAACACTGAATTAACTACCTAACATTATTATCTTTATACATGGTACATACAAGTGAAATTCATTGTGATATTGCTAGAATTTCCACATAAACAACGCACCCTGTGAGTTTTCTTGATCATCAAAATTCACAGTAGTTAATGAGTTATGCATGGATGATACTTACAATAAGACCTTTATAGTAACTCCCTGTTAGTTCCATCATTTGAATAAATTTCAGAACAGTGTTTCTTAACTCTAATCTGCTTTAAAATGCCACCATAGACTATGGGCGCCATGTTCGTGTGTCCTTTCTGGATCCAAACAGCATCTCTCTGAGTTTCTGAAACCCACCCACAACTGCAGGCCCAAGTGTCCCTGTTTCTACTAGTCCCTGTCCCCTTCCATTTAAAGACTCCGCACCTGGAAGACAAAGATGACGACGAGGAAACAGCTGGCTGCAGCCACTCCCCTGGGAACTGAACATTTTGTTTTCCAAAAAGAAAATTAAGGTTTCCACTACAGATATTTAGATAGAGCTGGTGGATCAAAATAGAATTAACTGAAGCACTTATGTATCCCAAACAATCCAAAAAGACTGATTCATAATCTATCCCAAGCAGATATTCAGTAACCTGAGACTTAGATGGATTTGATGAGTGCGCAGGGATGTCCGCCACACAGTCATTTAAGTTCATACAAGGGAAAAAGAAAAAAAAAAAAGTACCATTACCACAAGATGAGACTTATAAAGCACAAGTAATGACTTCACCGCACTCACTAGAAGATGGTTTGGGGAATCAAAACAAAATGACCATTCTTGTTCTATTAAGAGGGGAGGTGCTCCTCATTTGACAATGAATCAATAAACAAACAAATAAATAGCTTTCAAAAAGCCTACTTCACCCATGTGACTGCATGCATAAAATGACATCCCTACCAGCGCCTGACTTTTGCATGTAGACCTGGTCATCCCTCAAGTAGATGCAATGGTTGGACTTGCTTAAGGGAAAATTCGGTGAGTCCAGTCATTATTTCAGCAGAATAATATGTCTATCTGAATGGGCCTGAGGCTACGGTTGAAAGGACATTCATTCGCTTCTTTTTGTTAATTCTTAAAGAATAAATGTCATTTTGAATGGTCTAAATTAGCTGACCGACATCTCTCCCTTTCAGTACACACATTTGAAAACCCCTCCGATGAATCGTTTCTTGGAAAGGTGTCGCTTCGGACTACTGTGGTTTTCTAAATTGTGTCGGTGTGTTTTCCCGACGGAGCATGGATTCAGTTGTTCAGACTTTCACTGCTTGGCTTAACGGAGATATGGGTTCTTAACCACAATTAGAACGTGTGCCCCTCTAAGCTGCATTTCCTTTAAAATGAGAAAATACCTACTTACACACACTAAAAGATGTGAAGGATAACAAAAGACATTCTAATTACGTTAGAGTAGAAATACAAGTTTTCCTGGGTAAATGAATCAACGCACCATTTTGAACATGCATGTGAGTTTCACTTCACTCCTCATTGGAAAACTAACTAAACATCTTTATTACTGTACTTTATTATTTGATTTAATAGTGAACTTGTAATTATATTTTTTGGTGGTCTTCAGTGACTAGTGCATGATTCAGGTGGACTTGAATATCATCTAAGCATTAACCAAACTAATTTTAAAAATAAGACACATTTACATTAAGACTATTTTGTGCTATGCAAAAAAGGTGATTGTGTTTCCATCACTATAAATAATATTGAGTTAAATTCTGTTCAGTCATGTTAGATACGCATCAACGTACGTAAAGATAACAAAACTCTGAAAACTAAATTTTAAAAAGTAACTTCAGGTTTCAGATCACCAATTTATACAAACATGAAGTGTTCTTTCAGGATTTAGCAGTGCAGTCTGATTTGGCAACAGGAGAATTTCTTGACATTACATCGGACTTATAAGAAGCTAATGGGAGAACGTTTGCCGAATCTAAATCTAGAAAATGTTGGTCATGTACTCTTCCTACACAGGAATCAGACAGTAGTATTCTAGTTTTTCTTTCTTTGGGCCATGTCGGTGAGTAAAGAATAATCTTATATTTTATTCTATAAGCTCAGTTTGAATTTCCAAACAATATAAACCGATAAGCATTGTAGATAATTTTTGTAAGAAAGGACTTGAAAGAAGGGATATTGCATCTCTTTTATAAATTCTGTGAATTCTTCAAAGTGCTCTAAAAATAGCACAAAGCTGATCAGCAGCAAAGCATTAGTCTAATCAAAACTTCTTTCTCCATATATATATACATATATATACATATATATACATGTATACATTATATCTAACCTAAATCTAACTTAAACCTAACACTTAAGAGTTATTCATAGAGGCTGTGCAAAATTACAAATACTGTCTACATTGTATCATGGTTCAAGGCCACCAGCACCCAAGTGGTTAAGACAGAACCAACTGTTACATTTTTAAAAATCAACTATACCTTTTTAATTTCTTTTAAGATAGAGAGAAATGGTGTATACAGTATGCCATTCTGAGTCCTATAGTTTTCTTTATCTAGAACAATCGCTTTTATACAAAGAAAATTAGATACCTTTAAACATTGCTTTAGCAATCCTGAGTATAAAATATTCATCTGAAAAATAGGACTTTCTTTTTTTTCGCCTTGGAGGAAAGTTCTGGAGCGTGAGGATACTTAGTCCCCTTACAGATGGATTCATGCTGCAGACTCTTCTCCCAGGGAGACAGGGACAACCCCGCCGTCTGGGCATCACACACCTTGGAACGGAACCCCTGAACATTGCAGCTGTCATCCATTCCACCACACAATTCCAGCAGGAGGTCCTACAGGCCCCATGGCATTCTGGTCTTTTCTCTTTCACATCTTCCTGGCAGCACCCAGGCTCCGGGCATCCTGCAAGTAGCGGCTGAAGTCCAGAACTTGAACTTTGCTGGGAAACCCGAGTCCATTTGAGATGCGGCATTTTCATCTTTTCGTGGGGTGATTCTTGGTCCCCCATGGATAGGAGTGGTACCTGGGAAAAAAGCAGAAATAGACACAGTTCTCTGCAGTGACAAGTATTTTAATTCTCACATTCACTTTCAAAAGCCCATGGTTCGGACATGCATTTGAATAAATCACAGTGGGTTAAAAAAAATGCTTTTTATTAAAATGGGAACATTTTTAGAAAGATACCTCTTCCGATGCTCACTGCCAGCAGTCCTTTTTTAAGTAATCACTCAATAGGAGCTAAAACCTTAAAATAATTTTATATATCCAACAGTCAATTTGGGAAATGAAGTAATGCAGGCTGATTTGATGTAGATTTTATCTCGTTTGTTATTTCTCAGCACATATTTAAGAGAATACTGTTGTGTACTCAAAAAGATGATATACATCTTGTCGTCTACTGTTCCTAAAACTCACCTGTTTTACTCACACAGACAACGATACAGTAAGGCATTAGGCCAGCTCCTTCTGCTAAGGACCTGGATTTCTGTGGATGGGAACTATCAGTCCTCATACGCTGCTGCAAATGATCAACACGGCCTATTTTCGGAGGCCAGCCGGGCCTCTTCTGATCTTTTTATTATTATTTCCTTTATCGTTCACTCTTAACTCCCCTTTCCCAAAAGCCCTTGTATGAGAAACCTCTCTTTTGGTCAGGGGTCCTAGCTGTTATTTCTGCACTTAGCTTTTCCTAAAGCTGTATTTTGCGGCTGACACATCCTCCAAAACCAACAGCTCATGCATTCTCCCAGAACTATTTTAACATTCCAGAACTCTTGCCCCAAAGACTGCTGATGGATGAGACATGATCCCTCCTCTTTCACCAAATTCAAGCCCTAAAAGCAAAGTTCAAAGCACACATATGTGCTCAGACACTTTACGCACCGGTGTATGTATAAGCTTGAAGGGACAGTGTTAAGTTGTAGTCATGGATGATAAAGGAATGAAGCTGGCGATTCTCTCTGAAAAGTGTTATTTCATAAAGATCATTCTCTAACGCTCTGCGGTGATGTGACTATGAGAACCACAGCAGGACTGGGCGGATCCTGGAGGACGAATGGGAAGCTTTTCCCACATCCTGCCACACAGCCGGAACAGAGTATCTCAACTTGTGTTCCATGTATGGGTGTGATGAGGAAAAGACTCTGATAAACAAACATGGCTAACGGATTTTTGTATTTTTTTTCCCCTCAATGAGATATCTTGGGACATTTACTGCTCCAGAAAAGGAAATGGCTGTTAGCATTCTTCCAAAATGGTCAAATGAGGGCTGGTTATGTGGCACAGGGCTGGTTAAGCCTCTGCCTTCAAGGCCGGCATCCTATACGATGACCAATTTGAGTCCTGGATTTTTGGGATATCGATTGTGTTGGCCCCTGCAACTATTCAGGAGAGCCAGACAAAACCCAAGTTCCTCACTTTCAGAGGGTCCAGTTCCAGTTACTGTGGCTACTTCGAGGATGAACAGCAGATCGAAGATGTCTCTCTCTGTAACTCTAATCTTCAAATAAATAAATAAACCTTTTTTTAAAAAAAAGACCAGTCCTCAAGTAGAAACTAAAAACTCAGAAGTTCCTCTACAGCTGGTGGGAGGAGAGCAGTTGCAGAGAACGGTAACTTCTACTAACAATAAATCTTTGGAAAATGAGAATCATTCATCTTTTCTTTGCAGTCACAAGTCACAACAGAACTAAATTTACAGAGGTGGAATTCTGGAAATATATTATCAAACCAAAGGAGCAAGTAGATGAACAATCTCCATGTGATTCATAAGAAAATCTCATTGAAATGGAAGAAGAAAAAAAAAGATAAAATACGGAGACCAAAGTAATCTTTAAAAAGCATCTAATCTCCATATAATGACCTTAAGCTGGTGTTTCTGAGTCCTCTTTCTCTTACCACAGGCATTGGCTTACTGATGACCTCTGGAATAATTTGTCACTAAATAGCTTCACCAGGTAGAAAGGAAGGCAGATCCTCCAGACACAAAGGCCATATCAGGAGACACACTCCACAGGACTCTGCCTGCTCGACAGCCTTGAGCCTGCTGCAATGTGCTGGATGTTTGCAATCAATCTGATGACTCAGCTCTGAGTGGGTGACTTGAGACAACTCATGTGTATTGGGCACACAGCGCCCTTACCCCTTCAGGTTGCTCAGATTCCCATGCTAGTGTCTGCATTACCTTTCCTGCCGAGTATTTCTCGGGCCTCTAGAGCCATCTCTGCTCACCTTTAATAGCACATCAGAAACACCTGGGAATGAACACTTCCTGTGCGGAAAGATCTCAAACTGACTGAAGCTGAGGGCTAAGGACCCCCACCATCGTCTCTCTTTGATGGGCTAACTCTAATGCATGTGTTAACCACTGGCTTTCAGATTTCCATTGTGGGATACAGTTACAGCCACGCACAATGGTAACCTCTTTGGTTAAGAAACCTCTGTTAAATCATTTCCTCTTTCCCATACTCATGTTTTCTTGAATTACCTCTCCAACAAACTAATAATCACATGTAAATTCCCAGCCCAACAGTAAGAATGCAGGAACTAAGATGTGGTAGACACTGGGTATGTTTTAAGAGAACCAATAGTAGTTATATGAGAAGGTCATATAGCCCTGGTAAACCAAGGTTTCTTACAGAGAGTAAGCAGGTGGCAGCGCACAGCAAAGAAGTCCCTTTCCCAAAGGGAAATTTGCGTTATTTTTTTTTTAATTCTAGCACCATATATGAATAATGATTCAATTTCAGGGATGGAAACCTAGACTTCCGGCTCTTCTAGAATATGACAAATAGATGTTTGATTAAAGAAAATATCCTGGAAATGCTTTTCCAGTCATTCCATTCATCAGTTATTTATGGAAGTAAATCACTACTCAGGGATCACCCTTTTCAGTTTCTACAGAAAACACAGTAGCTATTGCATCACTGGACGAGCAATGATGCCCTACCCACAGCTCTATTCAATCAGACCAAAGATACTTCATAGAAGTTTTTAAAATAAAAAAATTTAAACAACCTCTATAATCAAAAATAGAAAAATCAGATCTACCACCCAATGGTCACCGGTCACCATGCATCTCCCACACATGGGTCTCACCTGCTAGAGGTAAAATTGTAATAGCCACTTTCCTCTAGAACTTCTTCAATCACAGTCTGAAATCGAAGGGGAAAAAACGAGAGAGAGAAAATCAGGCTAGCAGTGAATTAAAAGCAACCAAAACTCATCGCAGGCATTGCAAACATCTCACCTGCATCTCTTCATATGTTATTCCTTCCTCTAAATCCAAGCTGGTGGGCAGGCCTGCAACAGATAAAATGCAGAAAATCTGACGTTCTGTTCACAATCCCTTGGTCATTATTGCGACTCTAACTGCAGTGAAAAAGAGATCAGGCTCTTAATGACACAGACTTTTCTAGGGCAATCCCAAAGAACTTTGGCCTTGACTAGTCAAACTCTGGATCTCTCTAAGAGCTAGCTGCTTTGGACTGGCCATCAAAAAAGCAATACACAAATATTTGGGGGAATTGCCCATGTTATAAAGGCCAATTAAGACAGTTGGATGTGTGTTTGTGTTAAGGAAGGGAAGGAGTGATTCCCAAAAAAGTTTCTGAGGCAGAAATTTTAAATAATGTTTCCTCAATCCATATACAAAATATATATTTGCTCAAAAGAAAAATTCTTTAGGGACACAAAAACAGAAAGTCAGGGTCTCGCTCGGTAGCCTAGGAGCTAAAATCCTTGCCTTGCATCTACCAGGATCCCATATGGGCGCTGGTTCTAACCCTGGCAGCCCCTCTTCCCATCCAGCTCCCTGCTTGTGGCCTGGGAAAGCAGTCAAGGATGGCCCAAAGCCTTGAGACCCTGCTCCCATGTGGCAGACCTGCAGGAGGTTCCTGGCTCCTGGCTTTGGATCAGCGCAGCTGCAGCCACTGTGGCCACTTGGGGAGTGAATCAACAGATGGAAGATCTTCCTCTCTGTCTCTCCTCCTCTGTATATCTGACTTTCCAATTAAAAAGAAGTAAATCTTCTTAGAAATAATAAAAAGCTAAAGATACCAAATATCTGTGCCTTTCAGGTCACCTAAAGGGAAACAGCAAGCACTCATTCCAGAAAACATTTTGATGGTTGGTGAGAACATGGCATGCCAGCAGCAGAAACCAAACAGCCCAAGTTGGTACCGAGCTCCAACTCAGATCAATTAACACAGACTGCAGGTAGAGTTGTCTTGCCACTTTGGATAAAGAAATCAAAAATCATTTAAAGACAGAAGGAGACGTGAAATATGAGTGCAGGCAGCTCATCTGTAAAGCCATGTTGAAAGGTGTTCCCCGCCGTGCCAGCAGGCTCTGTCATCTTTGCTTGTGCCCAACCTGCTACCCCAGGTGCCAGGCCTGGTCAGCTCTAGCGTGGAGTATCCAGCTGCTCTGGAAATTGTATGGCAACTCCCAGGCTTTTGAGAGACTTGCAGGTGCATTTTTCATTTCTTTGGCATTCCTATAATAAGGAGAAGTGGGGCCTGCCAATGATGAATACACCTGTCCTGGAGAGGCTTTTCAAAGCAAATGACTTCAGACAATATTTGATCTGCATCCTTCAGATGTCTCAGAGAGAGACTATTTTAAATGAAAGTCAGCCTGCCTCGGGGTTGGCTTTCACTCAGCAGTTCAAGACTTGAAGAAAGTTTGATTATGTCTCCTCGAAATAATTTGCTAGGGAACAGCAGCACAATGCATGCTTCTAAGCTGGAGTGACGGCAAGTCTTAACTGGGAATGGCTCACTGCTAGCCATGTTTTCAAGTGACATAACTATAGTTTATGGGACTCCAAAATGACTTAGAGACTCTTGAAGCTTCCTCTTCAAATTTCAAATAGAGTGGGTGGCACTGTGGTGGAACAGGTAAAAGCCACCACTTGCAAAACTGGCATCATGGATAGGCCTGACATGGATGGGGTCCTTGCTGTTCCACTTCTGATTCAGCTCCTTGCAGAATGCCTGGGAAAGCACTGAACAGTCTGAGTGCTTGTTCCCCTACCACCAACATGGGCTACCTGGAACAAGTTCCTGGCTCCTGACTTTGACCTGGTCCAGTCCCCCCTGTTGAGCCCATTTGGAATGTAAACCAACAGATGGAAGAACTCTCTCTCTCTCTTTCTGTAACTGCCTTCCAACGAAAGAAACAAATCTTCTCAAGAAAGTGAGAATTCATATGTAACAAGAAAAGTTCTGGGACCTGACACTGGTACTAGCCCCTGCCATTGGCCTGAAATATTTTGTTTATTCTGGGATCCTCATTATAACTTCAGGATGCAGCACTATTTATTTTTATTTATATTTAATAATAAGTGACTAGGTGGTTTTTTTTTCATTTCCATTTTATTGGCAAGGAAATTGGGAGTTTAGAGAGGTTCAATAGCTTTGTCTAAGGTCAGTTATACTATGCACTCCGGTTTGCACAATCTGCACCTTTAGTCCACGGGTGACACTGCCTTTCCTTGTGAAATGCATGCTAAAAAGAACAAAATAAATAAATAGGTCTGATGTGGAGTCTTTAGGTAAGCTCCAAGCTTCCTGCAGCTGGAAAATTTAAACTTTTTTCATGTCTGTTCTTTCATCTCCCTAGATGCTCTCGGGTATTTGATTTCCCATCATCAGATAAGCACAAAGAAATAAAAGGAAATGCAATTCACCCACACAGATCCCTCTCTTGTTTGTGGTATTAATAAATGATCAAGGGACTTGCCGCCACAGGGGGAGATACATCTCGGGGAATTTCGAGATTCCTACCATATGTCCCTTTTTAACTGTTGCCACAGAAAATCCAAAGAAGCCCTATTTATTTTTTTCCTTTTAAATTGAAGATAATCTTTCAGGGATTGCTGTTGATCCAGATTATCCACGGCGCCCACCATTACCTGTAGGGTCACTGGGGGACAGGCTTTTTCCATCCGACGAATGACGTAACAAATGGTAATCTGCTGTGAAAAAGTTGGGTTCAATCGGTTCTGGAGACCCCTGAGATAACTGAAACCAAAAAAAGCAAAAGAGCCTCTTATTTCACACGTGGGGGCGGGCGGGGGGGGGAGGAGATGGCAGAAGCCCTTTGAGAGGGTTTCCAGCACCCTGCATCTCTGCACAGAAAATTTAGTGCTATATGATTTTCATTCCATGGTAAACAGATAAACATCTCCTGCCTTTCAAAATAACCTATAAATTGGAAGCAGGCAAATCACAGTGAAAGCAAGTTAGACAATTCCCTGGTCACAAGGAGGCAGGAGGGGAAAAAACACTTTTACTGCTTTATGAGAGCAAACTAAAAATGGATACAAAAATAATAACATGAGCCTAGGATACCAGGTTGTTATTTTTTATCAGGTGTAGGAAGAATAAACTCCAATTATTCAAGAGACCAATAGGTTTATTCCAAATCATGTTCCTTTTTCATATATCTGCTTTGAAAAGTGCCTTGTTGTTAGACCAAGGAAAACAAGTTTCTTAAAAGCATTTTTCTAAATCACTATTTAATTAACTTTAACCTAGAAATATCAATTCTCATAAACTACCCTGAAGGAAAGAGTAATTCTCCAAATGATAGAATTTATTAAGATTCTGACTATTCAAAGTCCTTCAGTAAACCTAAATTTTTTAATGGAATTTTAGGCTGTACATGGGTTTCAACTTTCTTTCACCTTTAATTTCCACAAGCATTTGGTCTGGCTAAGTTTTAGATTCTCAGTTAATATACTTTGAGATGCCAAGTCATACTAACAAACCCGAAATGACTGGCACAATTTGGACTATGCAACAGTAATTACCTTGGATTCACATATTCTGTTCATATGTTAAATCACTGTGAGTCATTTGGGAAAACAGGGAGTGTACCCTATAATCAAACAACACGCTTACTCTACAACACTTCCAGAACAGAGGCCTCATGCTCAAGGATTCACACAGAGGAAGGAGGACCTATGTTCATCAGAATGTAGACACAAGAATGCCCATAGCACCTTCATGTAAATTCCCAAAGGGAAAACTCCCAATGGCCTTGGGATTGACGGATACACTAGGATGCATTCATGTCATGGAATTCTACAAAACGATAAAAATAAACAACTATGAATACACAAAGCAGCATTGATGAATGTGAATTAAAAAAAAAAAAAGCCTAAAGCAAACTACTTAATGCATGACTTGACTTAGAAAAATGTTCATGATCAGACCAAACTAATCAATGGCAATACAAATCAGCATAATGATAACATCGTGACGGGATGGGAGGTCCCACCAGATAGCAACCTTTTGCAAGGCTGAAAATGTTCTTAAATTGATGTGGGTGATGACCACTCAGCTGAATACATATTATGTACAAGTTCATACAGCTGCAAATGTGCCTCACTGCACGCATTATACATTGTTATACTTCAATAGGATATTTATGTTAGCAATCAACAACAAATCTTCCCATCAATACGTTTTTAATGACTTATCTATTTAATTGAAAATCAGAGTTACAGAGAAAAGGGGAAGACACAAAGAGTCTTTTATCTAACTCCCAGATGGTTGCAATAACCAGGGATGGTGTAAATTGAAGCTGAGAGCCGGGAACTTCATCCAGGTCTCCCAGCTGAGTAGCAGGGACCCCAGTACTTGGGCTATCCTCTGTTGCTTTTCCCAGACCATTAGCAAGGAGCTGGATTGGAAGTGAAGCAGCCAACACTTGAACTGGAGTCCAAATGGGATGCCAACATCGCAAGCATCAGCTTTACCCACTATGCCACAGCACGGCTCCAGTCACATAATATTTTATATTCTGAATACAATGCACTTATGTGTTTTTTAAGTTGTATGTTGCTACATACCTACCATACACCAGAAAAATATATAGATCCATCTTTCTCATTCTTAAAAATTGTTTTTCCTTACTTCCATGTTGACTAATTAAAATTAATAACCCATCTGTTATAGACAAGGTATTAAGACCACAGGGCTGGCATTGTGCTATATCAAGTGAAGCCGCAACCTATAATGCTGGCATCCCATATGGGCACCAGTTTGAGTCCTAACTGCTTAACTTCTGATCCAGCCTCCTGATACTGACCTGTGAAAGATGTACCAGGTGTTCACGCCCTTAAACCCACACGGGAGACCCAGATGAAAGTCCTACCTTGTGGCCTCTTGGCTCAGTCCCTACCATGCAGCCATTTGAGAAATGAACAAGCATATGTAATTCTCTCTTACTTTCAAATAAACAAACATTTGTTTAAGCAATCATTGTACAATGATGCATTGCCTAAGGCAGGAGAACCATGTAATCATTCCCTCAGTAAGTTTCTCATCGGGACTGTGGGTGTCATGGAGTGAGACAGCCCTGAGGATTCTGTATTTCTCAGAGCCCAGCTGCCAGGTCGCCTTCAATAAGCTTCTTAGTACGTCCAGTAATGTTGAAAATGGTTTCCTGGTATTGATCTTCAAACATTTCATGTAGGTTTTTTTTTCCTATGATTTAGTATAGGAGTAAAAACTAAAAAGTTTATTTACATTTATTAAGTGTATGCACTGCATCCTAAAGATTTAAAACCTCAAAAAAGAAAAAAAAACAGTATGTTGATTATGACCTAAAAAGATCAAAACTGCCACTTTAAATCCCTTAAGGCATTTCAAATCCCTTTCATTGATTTGAAACTTGGGGACATGGAGTCTCTAAGATTCCCAGGACTTAGTGTAGCATTAGCAGTCTCTGTTAGCTCAGGCACAGCAAATCCTGAGTAGTGGGACATTAAATGAATGCAAAACCAAAATTTCATCAGTCTTACATTAGAACCCAAGTTAAATTACTTATATTTTAGGGACACCCAGAACTACTACATTTCTGCAGTTTAGTTTACAGAGATATATATTTGTTCAGCAAATATCTGTGTTTGTCCCTGACTATGTGTCGGATGAGGTGTTTTATCAGCTGAACAGAACATACAAATGTCTTGGTTTCTATGCAACTACAATCTGACTGGGAAAATAGACTGATGCGCACGAAATATCAAGCAGGTGCAACGCGTCATTAGATGCGAAATGAGGCGGTGGGTTCTAACTTGGAGAATGAAGGGGCTACGTGGAGACTGACATGGTTTTTACAGGTTCCACAGGGCAAACACCAGAGCTGGGTCTTTAGGGGATGGGTGTACATGGACAGAAGGAAGTGAAAAGGACACCCAGGTAGGGATGGGAGGATTGAGGGCACAGGCTGGGTGTTACACATTAATGATCAAATGACAAAAGGGACAGAACATGAGTCCATATTATGGAGATACAGGGATTCAGGATGACATAAGGAAAACAAGTACCACTGTGTCCAATGAGGTTGTTTTGTTTTAATCAATTACTAATTGCAATCACTAAGCAATGAAAAAATTCCATTGATGGCCAAAAGTTGCACTCCTTTTTTTAAAAAAAAAATGTTTTAGTTTTATTGGAAAGTCAGATATACAGAAAGGAGGAGACACAGAGAGGAAGATCTTCCATTTGCTGATTCACTCCCCAAGTGACCACAATGGCTGCACCTATGCTGATCTGAAGCCAAGAGCCCGGAGCCTCCTCCAGGTTTCCCATGCGGGTGCAGGGTCTCAAGGCTTTGGGCTGTCCATGACTGCTTTCCCAGGCCACAAGCAGGGAGCTGAATGGGAAGAGGAGCTGCTGGGACACAAAGTAGTGCCCTATGAGATTCCGGGGCATGCAAGGTGAGGATTTTAGCTCCTAGGCTACCATGCTGGGCCCCAAAAGTTATACTCTTGAAGCCTGCCACCTGCTTGGGAAGAAATCTATAAATGAGATAGATGTCCGCCTGGATGCAAGTCAAGCTAGCGCTGTGCCGAATGCTCTGAAGGACAGGCCCATGCCTTGGCAAAGTAACTAATTTGACTTAGCCAGAAATAATTTTTCTAAGAAAGTAAAACTTACACTACGAACTGAAAATAATGAACAACAATAAACACAGAATGCAGCAGTGGTAGGTTAAACACTAAGACAGACACACGATCGCATGGATGATCAATGCACTGTGGAAAAGGAGCTGTGCCTGGCATGAAGCCGGCAGGGGCAAGGGCGATATATGAGATGTGACGGGAGAGGTGGACAAATGAGGATCCAACAGAATTGGAAATGTCATGGTGGGGATCTTTGCATTTTATACTAATATCTCTCTCTCTGTGTCATTCTTTATCCCCTGCCCTGTGTCTGTGTGGTGGTGGGGGGTGGAGGGGGTGTATTCCATGGTACATCCTGGAAGACCACTCTGTGTGCACTGCAACGGACTAACCAGTTCGAACGAACTTGGGAAATCCCAGTGCGTGTGGAGAGACCATGACAGGACTCCTACAAACAACAGGATGAAGAGATGTGAAGATGATCGCTCGGGAAACTCGAAGCTGCTTCTAGGAGCTTTCAAATATGAGCATTAAAAAATATGATCATTTACAAAACCAAATGTTTAAGATATGTCAGTCTGGAAAGATGGACTGGAGAATAAGATCAGAAAAATAAATAAATGAAAAGAGTGTGAGGAGCTTCTTCCGGGTCTCCCATGTGGATGCAGGGTTCCAAGGCGTGGGGGCCGTCCTCGACTGCTTTTGCAGGCCACAAGCAGGGAACTGGATGGAAGGTGAAGCAGCCGGGATGTGAGCGAGTGCCCATATTGGGTCCTGGCTCATACAAAGTGAAGACTTTAGGTACTAGGCTACCATACCAGGCCCCTCCACTTTGCTCTTAACTATTACCCTCCAAGGTAAGCCTTCTCCCCACTTTGCAAAGAGAATGAGAAGTAAATTAACTTGCCAGGATTGCAGCTATTAAGTGGCACAACCAGGGCCAGAACTGTGGGTGTCTGACCATGAAAGGTCAAGTCAACTCACCCGTGCTATGAAAAGTCCCCTGTGACATCAATGGCTTAGAATTCACAGCCAAAGTACAGCAATGAGACCTAATGACTGAGCAGAAGGAAAGCTGAAGCCCCAGTGATTCCCATGTGGTCACAGGAAGGAAGGAGAAAGAGAAGGTGGTGATTTATTCTGGACCTGCCAGATGGCAACGTGACTGCTCCCCAAGTAGGTGGCATCGCAATGTCTGTGACCCGGCAGCCCTGCAGTTGGGTGCACTGATGGCCTCTGGCCATCCTGCCCTAGCATTGCACAAGGCCACCCTGGTGCAGGGCTGTCCCTGTGGTTCTTGCACAGAAGAATGGATGAGATTTTTCCTTCTGAACAGACATGAAAGTGCTACTCCTCCCAGAACTAGTATCTACTATTACAAGAAACAATGTTTCTAAACTAAGCCCACCAAGTAAATCTATGAGAAACAAATCCTTCCCCCATCAAAAAAGAAAAAAAAAATCCACTGATTTTTGAGCAAGTATTGAACCAGCAGTTAATTGGCCAGTTGAGAATAGAATATTTTTAAAGAAAAACCTAACTAGATAAAAACACGGAAAAGCTATTAATCACTATGAGATTTCCCAAACTACCCCAATCTCTTTCCATATCATAAAGGCTAGGTTTAGTGTGCAACAGCCATAGAAAGCATTTGGAATCTAATCAACTGAGGTAGGGATGCGAAAGAAATGGAGTCCAACAAATGAAATTTGGAGCCAGAATGAGAAATGTTCTTCATATGCTCCATCCCACTGTGTTTTCCAGTCCTCTGCTCTCACTTCTTTTGGTTCTCCTCGTCTTCTTTGACTGAGCTATGCCGTTGCTAACACATTGCCTAAACTTTTCATTTTTTCTTACAGCTCCTTTTCTATCTATTTTCCTATCACGTTCCTCTGGGTCGTTTTTCTCACAGAAATGTCCAGTGTTCGCACTCAAGGTTTTCTTACATTGAAACATACACACATTCCCCCACATATGAAGCAAGTACACCGATGGGATGACACTCCAACATCAGCCCCATCCCCACTTTCTAAGCCCCCCAGGAAATGAATCCCACTGCACTCCCACTTAGGCAACAAGCCACCCTGCCACTGTTTACATTCCCACTGAAGTCTGTTTTCCTAACCAAGAATTCCAAAATCGGAAGTTGGCTAAAAGATCACTGTCCTGTGTTCCTGATAACCAGAAGCTTGCCCTCCCAAGACTTTGACTCATCCACTGCAAAGAGTGGATGACGGCCTGTCCCACCTGGATGGGATGGCCTTGCAACAGGAGCCTCTTGACTGCTCACACAAAAATGCACTGGGCGCTGCTGATTCATGAAGCATCCATGGGTCTCTGCCAAAGACTGGAAAAATATAAGGCATGCTCATTACAGACACACCAAGTCATGAGTAAAAGCCAGAGGAACTGAGCAACGTGCCTGTCAAGATTAGAGTCAGAAGCCTGGAGTTAGGAAGTCAATTTGACTGTCTGTGTTAAATAAGGTAAACCTGGCCATACTTATCTGCCCTGTAGTGCAAACTGGGAACCTACGAGAAGTCGCAGGAGGGCTGAGGCTGACAAGAAGCAGTTGTGTGTGATCGCCCTGTTACAGGGGAGATGTCATTGTGTCTCGTCCTGATCTTCTTACTTAAATAACGGCTCACAAATGGCTATCAACAGCGCTTGGGCACTAGTAGAAAAGCAGTGTCTTAGGCTCAGGGTATAAGCAATTTGTGGTAACTAAATAGCCTGTCCTCCTAATAAAAACAAGTGCCAAGACTGTCAGACCATTAGTTCCCAGTGGGTCGGCATTGTGTTCTGCTGCACGAAGGACGAGCTGCATAGCCATAGCAGCCATCTCCTGGTACCACTGCTTGGAGGACACAGCCTCTACTCTGCCCCAAGCCATCAGCTCAGACACCATGTGCTAACAAGATGCCCCAAGTCATCAGTGAGTACTATAAATGTGGGAATCTCTGACCCTACTGGACCCTACTGGCTCAGAGTGGAATCATTGGGGATCCGGTCCCTAGGGATTTTCCCCCATGGGGATTAACTCATGATCAGCAACACAGGGTTGAAGAGTTTCAGACGCTTCTAATATGCAGCAGATAATAATAATCTCAGTGCATTAGAATGGCCGCATCCTTAAAGGGCTTCCCAGCTGGTTTAAGCATGGGTTGAAATGACATTGTTAACTTACCATGCAATGATTCTCACTGCCAACTATGGGCTAGAATCACCTGGGGCTAGGGATTCCCCCCAGATTCCCATCGTACTTCTGAGCCAAGCTGAAAAGGCCACCCTCTCTCCCCAGAAGAGACAGCTAGGGTTGATCCTTTGATCCAGATGCTCTCCCATAGAACATGACCTGCCCAACTGGAAGTGGCAGCATTTCTATAAGAGCTGTTTCCAAAATGTGAACATCCAGGCACTGGTCTGGGAGGATTGTGGTGTCAAAATGAAAAACACACACAACAAACTCTTCATTGCAGAAGTAGTAATAAATGATACAATTAAAAGGAGTACTAAAAGGGAACATGATTTGCCCTGGGCATGGGATTGGGGGTGGGAAGGGTGTCCCAGCTACCTCGATGCAGCAGATGCTTCTCTGCAGAGGTTTGGGACTCATAAAACTAGGATTTCTGCTAAAATATGTTTGTGTACAAACCGGATTATCCTGAACAGCATTTTAATAAGAATCTGAAAACCTAGCAACCTTCCACAGGAGATTGGAGCTTCTGTCACTTTGAAATATATGTATTGGTATTCATGGTACAGTGTGTAAAGATCATAAAATAGATATCTGAGGGCTCCTCCACTCCTCTTTTGATCTCCTCCAGCTCTGTCTCGACTGGGAATCCAGGGAAGAACTCTGCCGAGGTCAGGCTGGAGCTGTGCTACCTGCAGCTGCCCATGTCTTCCCATCTTCTTTGTGGAGTGTGTGTGTGTGTCTAAGCAATTGCCACAGATACAAGACAACAGTGCAGAAATATATTGTGTGCATTTCTTACCAGAGGATCTATCCTATTTTCTGAATAATGAGTTTATGCTTACTGCTGGATCCATTAGAGCAAAAAGGGACCTCAAAGGGGAAAAGTTCACTGGCAGCACGACAATGCCAAGATGCAAACTGATGAAGAAACTGCTAAATATAGGAAGTTGGAGTGGAACCAAGTGCCCTTATCCATCCAGGAGGACCTGAATTGTTTGTATCTCGAGCCTCATAGAGACAGCAGAGCCTTCTAGAGTTTATAGCCACTTCCAGAGACTGCCGAAACCGCTACAAGTAGGGCAAAGGGATTTCCTATCCTCTGAGTCATGAGACAAAGGTGGAGGTTGTTCTTCCCCTCTGATTTAGTAACTTGGTTTCTACACATCTGAAGAGAAATAGCTGGCTGCCAGCATCCGAAGTTGAGGAAACTATAGCATGCTGAAGACAGAAAGAACCTGTCAGAAAGCATGCCCTCAGTGCTTTCAGAGGCTGAAGGTCACGACCTCACGCACAGAGCCGCCTTTTCAGAGTGGCATACCGCAGCCGAAGGTCTTGTCGAAGACCACTCTAATAAGGCGAGTGGCTGGTGTCCTCTACCAGAGACTCGATCCTACACATTTCTAGTCAAAGGAAGCAAATAACATTTCTCTTTGAGAAAATACTGTGTGCAATAATACTGAAAGAACTGTTCATCGTGGCAGGATAGCAGCCACAGGAAGTAAGGGTGAAAAATATCTGAGGCAAAAAAAAAATGCATCTTAAGATAACATCCTTTGATGGACAACACAGCTTAAACTACAGAGCCTAGCGGGTAGAGAATGTTTCTCTCGTGAAATGCTTTTTGTAAGCCAAAGAATTCCTGCACAGAGAACACCATACCTTTTTAATTTCAGATTTCAAATGACAAGGGTTGCTCTGCTGGCTGAAGAGGGATTTCTTGAATCTTTCTATCACTCTTCTTTTCAAATTGTGGTGCAAAGCTGGAGGAAGCTGCAAACAAAACAAAAACAGGAAAACGACCATTAGAACTAAATGGCTAACGCTGTGCAGCTGACCACTGGGAAGCTCTCCTTGGGGTCAAGGGTGGGAGTGGGGGCTGTGTATGTGACAGTATCTAGTCAAGGGTACTAAGAACCTAAACTTTTATTCTGGATCATTCGGAAGGCATAAAATGCATTCACTCTTCTAAGATTTGCCTCTGCTTAGCATTCTTTGATTTATTATTTTTGTATTACAGCTGAATCACTCATTAGTGGCTTGCAGACATTGAACTTTGTAAACAATGGCCTTGACCCGAAGGACTCGCCTAACTCAGAGCTACTGAGCTTAGAGTAGCAAGCCCAGAACCGGGCTAAACACCTCTGCCCTGGCCACCGTGTTGGTCCTAAGACCTTTGAACTGGGAAATACATTTGCCACATGAAGCTCAAGCTGAAGGTCGCCTGAGATGCTCCTTAAAATGTTTATCAGGGAAAGATCAAGTCCTAACAACTAGTCTTATCCAGAAGAAAAAGAGAACAGATTCAGACATACTAGTGCCTGGCCCGGATCACTTTGATTTAGTGAGCAAATGCAGAAAGGCAGTGTAGAATCAGAACCGAAGGTAACTGGATGCAAATAAGGATATCAAAAGACCAATTTGCAGTGTGTTGCAGGCAGCATTTCTACAACGAAATCAAAGATCCTGAAACCCACAGAGGAACGAAATGAGGTTTGAGAGAAAGACAAGAGAAAAGAAAAAGCATCAGAATTGCAAAAGGCATTAAAATAATATTTCTTTTTGGTTAAGTTGTTAAGAGAGAACTTGAAAGAGGAAAGACACGTAAGAAACAAAGAGGTTATGTGGGAAGAAAACTGTGGTAGAAGGTGCTCTCTACACTAGAAGAAAAAAAAAAAACCCTGGGAAAGCAGTAGAAGATAGCCCAAAGCCTTGAACCCTGCTCTTACATAGGAGACTTGGAGGAAGCTCCTGGCTCCTGGCTTCAAATCAGCTCAGCTCTAGCCATTGTGGCCATTTTGGGGAGTGAACCAGCAGATGGAAGATCTTTGTCTCTCCTTTTCTCTGTAAATTTGTCTTTCCAATAAAAATAATGTGGAAAGAAAGAAAGAAAGAAAGAAAGAAAGAAAGAAAGAAAGAAAGAAAGAAAGAAAGAAAGAAAGAAAGAAAGAAAGAAAGAAGGAAAGAAAGAGAGAAAGAAAGAAAGAAAGAAAGAAAGAAAGAAAGAAAGAAAGAAAGAAAGAAAGAAAGGAAGGAAGGAAGGAAGAAAGAAAGAAAAGAAAGAAAGGAAGGAAGGAAAGACAGGAAAGGGAAAAGGGAAAGCTACAGCGTCTTACTGGAATCAATCTCACGCTGCATAGCACTTCATCTTTAAGGCTTTCATTCAACATTTTTAACATTTTGGTCAGAATGAAGACTCATGAATAGTTCAGTTGCAGATAATGTCAATGTAATGGTATAACAGCAAAATACTGAGAAGCAAATATGAGCTGCACACTCAAAGATCACCAGGTCACCTCGAGAGCTATGATGGGTACAGATGGCAAGCCAGTGAAGGAAGGAGAAGGATGCTCACCTCTTGACTTTTCAAGCCGTCACTCTTAGATGATCTTTATGGATCTGTCTCCATGGAAACTGGCCAGGAAAGGCCACTCCCAGCCAAAAAGAAGAGATGGATTTTTGTTTGGGCTTTAAAGTTCAACTGTTAGCTGTCAGGTGGTTCCCTGGCCCTGCAGTTCAGGGCAGTCAGCATGTGTGTCTGTGGAACGTGGACTAGTGCCTGGAAGGTGTTCTGACGCTTATGAACAAGGTGTCCCTTTGCAATCAGTGCCAGAAGAAGCGGCTCTCGGTGATGTCTTTGACCCCATAGCAAATCCACTAGTACAATGTTTGCGCTTGGATGTCCCTCCATTATTTGAAAGACTTTTGGTCTTGTTTAACACGGTACGTTAAAATTTCTCAGAAGGGAACCATTTCTTATTACATTCAATATCATCTACGTTAAGGTATTCTGAAAGCACCTCTTTGAAAACCACAGTGGTTGTATCTGAACTTATAACATGGAATGCCATCTTGACAAAAAATATAAGATCATCTGTTATCCTGGCAGTCTATAATAATAAGATATTTACAACACTTTCATGGCTGCTCTACAATACTTTAAAATCCAATAAAGAATTGGAATATATCCATTAAAATAATGCTTGCTAAATTACATAAAAATTTAGCACCCATTAAAATAATGCATGCCAAATTACATAAGAATTTAGCAACACATGTATGTGGAAATGATACTTCAATTTCACATGATATTTCTCTTGGTTTAATCATTAGTAATGGGGCCAACATTGTGGTGCATCAGGTTAAACCACGACTTGGAACAGTGGTATTCCCACATCAGAGTACTGCTCAGGGTCCTGATGAGTCGGCTTCTGACCTCATTCCCTGCTAAACCTCCCGGGAAGGCAGCAGACGGCAGCCCACGTACTCCGATCCCTGTCATCTATGTGGGGATCCAGGCTGCTGACTTTAGCCTAGCCCAGCCCTGGCTGTATGGCTGCCACGTGGAGAATGAATCCAGCAGATGCAAGAGCTCTATGGCTCTATGTTACTCTGTCTTGCAAATAAATATTTTTAAAAATATACATATAGTAAATAAAGTAACAAAAAATTACTTAAATCTATTTCTGTCATATTCTGAGGGATATTTTCTCATAGCCCCATATCAGTGTTTAAATTAAAATGCAATTTTTAAAAGAATACCTTTACTTGATATGGTATATGGTGCTTTATTAACCCACTCCTTCGGCATATTTTCCCCCTCATGTCTATCAGTTAATCTGACAATTCTATGGGATAGTCCAAGAGAAAGATTGACAGCAGAGAACAGACCGGCATTCAATTCTGGATTCTTGCATCTAAAAAGGCAGCCCTCAGGGTGATTGAAAAGAACACCAGATTTGGGATAAAACATAATAAGAGACAGCTTGTTCTACCCCGGCCTGATAAAGATTGCCGAGGCTGCAGGAAGAAGTGAACGAAAGAGCAAGGAGAACTCCAAAGTGTGCAGCATCTGAGAAAGGTCCTGGCCCCCTCTGTACCACGTGGGCCCGACCACTCCCAGGCATGCTTGCTGGCCAGCTAGTGTTCTTGGGACTTGTCCTTGGCCAGTAGGCAGGATGCTGAGCTCTGCCAGTAGAGGGCACTGGAGGGACACTGGTGGAAGACAAGGCTGTCCTGGGGTTCTGGGAAGTTCTTGTCACCCTCCCCACTCAACACTTGTGCGACTCTTCCGAGGTGATACTCACCCACATGCCCTTAAACTTTCACCATCCAACTCAGTGGCACCAACCCTGCATTGGCTTCTGGAAAATTCCAAGGAGTCATACCACCCAGACAAGGCCTCCCCTTCTGATGCCCAGCATACCAGCCTCTGATTGTCATAAGCTCCACCACTTGGGTCAGTTTCTCTGAGTTTCCCGAGAAGTACAGCCCTCAGCCTGGGGCGAGGGTCATGATCCAAGGCTTGGAAAGGTTCCATGACAGTTCAGATAGCCGTGTTGTGCTGATAGAGCTGATAATCACATCCAAAATGTAACGGGATACATCGCTAAATTATCAGTGTCAGCTCAGTTCATTAAGTATCTCATGTGAAAATAAGGAGGGAAAAAAAAGTATTCTAAAACTTGGACATCTCGTGGGTCAGATAAAACGCCCTATTTGATACCCAAACCACCCTGAGTTTTCCTTGTCAGTGGCAGCGGCTTGTCACGCTGTGTCTGACAAGCTTCCCTTGCATGCAATTTCTATGGCCTCCACTGAGGCAAACGTCTTCAAAAGAATGTTCATTTCTCATAAGACCCACAGTTAGGATCGAATCTGTCACAAGAGTCATGTCTCAGTATGATCCGAGGCAAAGAAGTACATGCTGTGACTCAGCAGGACATAGCTGGCACACCAAAAAGCATTGCAAGATTTTACTCTCAAATATCAGCAGCAATCCAGAGAATACATCCATGAGGGGATTTAAAAATAAGAGGCCAGGGAGGGAGAGCTATGATGCTAGAGAAGATTTTGTCAGTAGGGGTACAGGCACCAGAGACTACTGTATATTCAATGTGTTAGCATTTATGGCTCGACATGGTAGTTGAGGTAGTTCAGCAGGGGCCTGTGTGAAGGGAAGGTAAAATGCCAGCGACTCTGCGACATGTTCGGGAAGGAATTCAAAGGCTGATGGGAACAGGTGTGTTTGTCATGCACTCCCTGCACACCCACTCTGTAGCCACATTCAGCAAGGACAGACAAGGGTCACTCCCCTCACTGAGGCACTGTGAAATGCTTCAGAGGGGAGCGTGGTAGCATCTTCCAAATGCCCTGTGGTTCTTCTCCTTCGTGGGTTAACGATGATATCTAAGGACACGACATTCCACTGCACCCAATCGCCAGTGGACAAGGAACAGTGCAAATCATTACTGATAAATTGGTAGCATTCACCAGCGCTCCCCCTGCCTCCCCCAATGAGCAGCAAGGGTTTACTGTTTAGTTTAGAATGCCTTGGTCCATGGAGATCTTGGATGTGGTTAATAAAGTGTCTCCAGAAAGGAAACAGTCAACGTTCTAGAATATTCCTTGTTCTGCACAAGAGAAAAGAAACTCTGAGTCCAGCAGACACAAGCCTGACCTGTGTTGTCATTGCTGGAGGGGAGTTTCAGAGTCTCTCCCACAATCCCGAGCCTCGGCCAATTCAGAGGTCCCAACACCCATGAAGAAGGATCTAGAAATATCGTTATAAGAATACACAGCACATTTCCTCCAGGACATTCCCAAGGGGACTGAAACCACTCCCTGTGGGTAGAGTCCACTAGGGAAAATGGAGATGTGCAGGCATGCAGAGAAAACTAGGCACTGACTCCAAGTAGATGGTGATGCCATGTCTTATAAAGTCACTTCATGCACCCACCAAGATGCCGTGATTGAGTGACGTAGTTGGGTTGTACGAATCCACATTTGATCTACAGTGGCCCCTGTAGAGCTGCGGTTCCACTGACCTCGTGTTATTTACCTGTAATGCCTTAGTGGGTCATTGCAATTGCCTTAATTAACAACAGACAACATTACAAGAATTTGTCTCTGTTTTTGTATACTGACACATCTCACAGGCTTGAAGCAGAGTCTGACATAGGGTAGTCACCTAATAATTACATGTCAGGTGCGTAATTGAATGAGTCAATTGGATGAGAATAGGGACACAAAACAAGGCTTTCTATTCAAATGTCTATACACGTTAGTCTACAAAAACTTATTTTTTAATGATAGCATATACCTTTGGTAAACAAACATTCAAGTTGTTTCTTGTCAGATTTCTGTCCATAGTTAAGAGCTACATTTTAGCATTGATTAGCACTCAGTAAGTCCCTGAGACTTACAACCAGGAAATCTTAACAATCCTGGATTGTTTGTGGTTTTGGCTTTCACCACTCTGAGAGCGCCTGGATACAGCCGGTCATCACAGGATTAATGAGAGCACCATCAAAGCTGCTTATGGAGAAAGAAGCTCAGCTGTGTCCCCATTTGTATCCACACACTGAGAAAAAAAAAAAAAAACGTGCAATGAGATCTGGTGTTAGTTGGGCATCCGTGGCGAGAGAGGAGACTAAGAAAAACACCTGACACGTTGGCTCTGCTGCCAGGCCACCGTGCACCTACACGAGCAGCTGGGAGAACAAAAGTGCAAGTCTTCACTCCACTGGAACTCCCACCGAGTTCCTCCGCAAACATGGAAGGGAAACAAGAGGCTAAGGCACTGACCTGTGTGATGTAGATGATTTTGTGCAACTGAATTAATATCTGCTGAATGGGATCACTGATCTGACGTACTTTCCTCTGGGACACGGCGATGCCTGCAGATGCTGGGGAAGGTGGGGGGGGGGCGGGGGAGGAGATTCTGTAATCAGTCAAGTTGTCTTTCAAAAGTGATTATTGGTAGAAAATGGGGCTAAAGTTCTGAAAATAAAAACATCTCAGAGCAAACACTCTCATCTTGGCAATGAGACAAAATTATATAGATTGACTGTAGCACATCAATATTTTAGAATACAGAATAAGCTCTTTCTTCACTTCTCAGACTTGGAACACAATGATTCTTGGTCTTTTGGATATTTTGTTTTTGTCTGCGGTTACAGTAGGCTGCCTCCAGGAGTCAGTGATGGCATGGATACTGTAGCCACTGACTTCAAACTATCAGGCTCTTCAATTGTAAATTCACTTGTTCTCCATAACCTATCCTAAAATTAATGTTATCACAACTACTACAGACCCAGAAAACAGGGACTCTTATGGTGAAAAACAACAAATCCTCTAAGCTACAATTCAGTAACTTTCAAATTCTTAGTAATGACAAATTGTCACTTTCACCTGTTTCTGTCTCGGTTTCAATTGGACGCATTTACAATTTGTACTGAACGGTCATGCTGAAGTCACAACAGTTTCCTAAGTATAGACCCGCCAAGGGTCCCTTCTTAAAGCTCCTTGAAGGACTGGTCTTGATCCTAAGATTAGCCACAAGGCCACCATGCCTCCTCTCACCTGCAGACCCACCTACATGCAGCTCATGGAAAAGATTCCAGAAACTTGGAGGTACCTGACCCTCCTTACTCCCTTCACTTGTATTGCACTTCCAGAAACAGGGCTGTATTTTTGAATTTCCTTTAGAAAAAACTTCCCAACACCATCTGTTCTTCCCTCCATTCATACAACAGTGAGCCAATATGAAATGGAATCTCAACGTTCTCATTGTTCTAGCAACAATCAAGATTCTTTGAAAATGATTCTACATGCTAAGAACGCGTTTTATCATAAACATTTGCTTTTTAAAACATCGAGGAAATCTGATATGATCGCTTAGAAGAGTCTACTTATTTGATTGTAAGAATATGAACGTTTACATTTATAACATAAAACATGAGAATGAAATTTAAATATTTAAAGAGACATTATTTCTTAATGAGAATCTTTACTTAGTTGGAAGTGGCACATGAAATAATTTAGTTCTTGTTCCTTTGCAGTGAATATCTTGTTTTAACTCTGGAATTTAAAGGATCTACTTCCCCGGGATACTACGACCAGCAACTCGACAATAATTATTTGATCATTGAGATGAAATCTAATAAAACACCTCTTTAAAATAATTATTCATATGTTCACTACTTCATGGTCTTAATGTATAAATGTAACAATTACAGGTAACGACTTAAAATCTCACAGTATGCCAGAGAGTTCCTAGGTTTCTGGTGACATTTTGAGTGAGATATTGCATGGGGCTGATTCTACCTTGCCACAAGCACGTGCTCATCTGTGGCCCTATATATAAAAACAAGAGAAAGTTAGCTAGAATGCCTGCCTGCTGAATCCACCAACTGCGCACATTAATGTGAACGTTACGTTTCTTTAGGTCTTTCAAGCTCTAGCCTCTCAAATCCAGCAACTCTTTTGAAAATGGCTTTATTCTCTAAAAATGAAATTTCAAATATTTAGCTACACATTCCCCTTAGAAGACAAGAAAAAAAAATGAACAAACAAAAAACCCCAAATGAGGCTCCCTGCACCCAGTACCCATCACAGCCCTCCCCCTCAGACACGTACCCTGGAACAGGTCAGATTACAGGCATTTTTCTACCTACTCACATATACACGCGTGTGCCTCAGAACAGGATTTTTCAACCTTTGGTTGAGTCTTGAAATCAATTGAATGCATCAGGACAAACAAGCATTTTCAAAAATAAAATGAGTTGACATGGAATAGGAAAGTTCCCGAAGGCATGGTATTAGACTAAAACTCCACTCAGTCAAGACATACTTGAAGTAGGTGTCATTTCATCTCTTTCTGTCTTCCCTCTCTTCCTGCTTTCAATGGTCTTCTTCCCTCTCATCTTCCCTACCTCCCTTCCTTTTAAATGAATGGTAACATGTAGCATCACATGAACATTCTGCAATGTGGGGGCGAGGGGAGGTAATTTTTATGGAACACACGCACAGTTTTGGCTTATTCTTGTCACTCAAGGACAGTACTGCAAATTCTGGATGCACTAGCCTTTACTGAGCCACGGTCTAGTTGGGCATTTCTTGTATGTTTAAGTTCTTATAACTGATGCTACAACGAGTGTACATGTCTCATCGTGCATATTCGCAAGAATTCTTTAAAGGCAGACAAGGAGAAGCAAAATAGCTGAGCGTGCACAGATACGCATTTCTTTCTGGAACAAGTACATTTCTAAATGGCTGAATCATGTTAACACTTTGACCAGAAGAGAATTCACTTTTCTACAACCTGATCAGAGCTGCTGCGTAGTACCAAACTTTTCCAATTAGGGCAGCCGAATCAAATGTATTTATTTTTTATTTTGAATTTATGTGAATGTTAGCGGTATTTTTCTGAATGGAAGGGTATCTCCTTCGTGAATGTCTCCCTTGTATCTTTGTTTCCTTTGTTCTCACTGATGCAACCAGCCTTTACATATGCTGAATACTAGTCTGACTCTTGCATTTCGCATGGTAAAAGCACTTTCACTTGATCCATGCCCTGGAGGTCACTTTCACTTTGGGTGACTCCAGGAGTCTCTTAGATGTCTGCTGCCAGTGCATCACGGTGACCTGGACTCCAGTATCAGTTGCTCGGTGCTCTGGCAGAATCACTGACCCGGAGCATGGGTTCATTGTGTAGACAGACTAAAAGCTCAAAAGTGGGAAAGGTACTGCGGGAGTCTGTCTACCCCCTTTATGCAAACTCAATTTCCTGGACAGCTTCTGCTGGGCCTAGCGAGCTCCCTGCCTATGATCATGCTCAGTCATCAAATACATGCAGGTACTGTCACACATCCGTGGTCCACACTGCTGACAAAGCCTTTGCAACAAAACTTCCACCCAGGGAAGAAGACTGACAAGAGCTGACCATGGTGTGGGTCCTATCAGACATTTAAAAAAAAAATCACCAAGACACTGAAAGTTATCTGCAAGACTACTTGATTATTTGTTTTTCTGGTATTAATCAATAGATAATAAGTTTAATTTGGGTAATGTGTTGAAACTTAAATTTTCAATTTTCATTTCTGGATTTGTTACCTAAATCTAGAATGCGTTTGATCTAACCCGCAGAGCCTGGCTTTTCTCCATTGAAAATTGTTTCTTACGCCATGTTTTAACCACTAACCAAAGCACACTGACTCATTTTATTCCTATTAACAGAATTTTCTCTCTCCGCCCCCCACCACAATTTCTTTTAATGAAGACCAAGACTCTAAAAGAAATATGTGTAAACTATGATGTGTAAACTTCATATATTCTCTGCTACTGATTAAAAGTTTACCCAACAAAACTAACAGGAAAAGAGGAAATATGGCCTTCCAGCCACTTTCATTCAACTACCTACATGAGAAAAATGTATTCTGTATGTGGAAAGCAGGAAGACTAACTAACAAATGCTTGCTTCTCTGAACACTTTCTAGTAACCCAACTTGACCCTAATCTAACACCTCTGAGTAATGTCACAGTATTTTTAACTAACAATGTATACCAATACGGTGCAGACAGCTTGCAGCCCCATGGCACTAGAGGTTAACCTGCAAAAATGGTACATCAATATTCCTCATAAAGAAGATGAAAAAAATATATGACATGATTTTATACATGGAAAAAAATTTCACTAGCCTTATGCTTAGTTTAGCTATCTTGTTGCAGCTTTTTCTTTCCTTCTCAACTGCATAAATTCCTATCCTACAAATGCTCTTGCAAGTAACTCTTTTGTCCTCTGCCTGGTTCTATTATTAATGTGTTCAATAAGATTTGTTTTCTAAAGAATAACCGAGAGGTCTGTTTTGTTCTCCAACAATAACCAAACCAATAATTAGCTCTATAAAAATAAGTATTTTAGATGCCACGCTATCTTATAATATTTCCAGATAGTCTGGTAGATTCATGCTGAGAAGTGTCCATTAATTACGAGCAAGGCGTCAGACACAGTGGAAGGCAGGCAGGTGACCAAAATAGAAAACCGAGATAGCTGGCTTTCCAGGAGAGTGGATTTCCACAGCGGTCTTTGCAGAATGGCTTGGTCATGACCTAACTTAGCTGATTGCTCTGTTTTTGAAGAAAGAGAATTAACAGAAACCTAATGGTTGATCCAATGACGGCCTTCTGAGTTACATCCAGTCTGAGTTTCTAAACAATTAACTTAGCCCAAATGATAGTTTGCTGGCCATTAGTATCTACACTGCTGTAAGGGAATATATTGGTAAAGATGATTACATGAACAGCACTGCATGATTTGTGCATTACATACTCCACAACAACCTGCATCGCTTGATATCCAGTTTCTCATTAGCATCGCCCCCCACCATCACCACCCTCAATATTTAGTCTGTGTGATGATTCCAATCAAGGCCTCTGCAGAAATACTCAAACTATGTTGAAAATCCATTAAAATCAGAAATAATGGCCATTTCAAACTAGAAAAGCATGCCTTTTCCCAATAATGCAATTTATTTTGTTCTCTATATTACAATCATCATTCAAGTCACACGGATCTCTCTTTTATCCCTCCTGAGTGTATCTTTCAATCCTTCCTTTCTTTGGATCTCCCTCCCAGGAAGACACTTGGATGCCACGGGCATGAGCTGCCATTTCACAGCTGATTTCAGCTTGCACTTAATCTTTGATCAGTAACTTTTGCAAGACTGTCTCACAGAAAACACATTACCTTGAAAACACTATTCTAAAAAAAAAAAAAAAAAATCCCATATCTGCAAGCAGTATTCTCCTGGGGCCAGGTATATCCATCCTTGCTTAGTGCCTCACTGAGCTTAAAGAATTCATGGTAAAGGAATTCAGTTATCTCCCACTCCTACCCCAATCGAAAGGCTAATACTTAAAAATAGATAAAATATTGGATGAGTTTCTTTTATCCAAGATGCCTGGAGTAGTAAGTTGAGGCATTGTCATATATTGTGGCATTTTAACGAAAGAGAAAACCAAAAAAAAAAAAGACACTCAACCAGTAATGTTACACTAGCCAAAACCTGGCGTACTAAAAAACCTAGTGTACAAAAACTAGTGTACATATTGCTAACCCACCAAGCCCTTCAGGGAAAAAATGCTGTTATGAATGAATTAGAATTAAACTGTGACTGGTTTACCCTATTTATATATGTGTGTCTAATCTCACTGCTATAAAATCAACCAACAGCAATCATTTTAACTTCAAGTTTATGTTATGAACTTACCTTTGACAAAATAAAAGGAACAAAGCAGGGTCAACATGCTAGCTTAATAATAAAACAACCTTTTTCTGCATCTATACTGATATTTTAATGGCCCCAAATGGTCAGTTCTTCCAAGGCAAACTTTAAAAATATGGAGACGTGGGCTAATTTTACAGGAAATAAATTCCGATAGACTGTGTTCAGAATGCATATTACCTCTACAAAAGAATATTAAGACATCAAAGTAAAAATAGCATTAAGCAATAATTCAGATTAACCTAAATCATAAAATAAAATTTATCCTCTAGAATCAAACACATTAAAATTAAGAATTAAAGAATTAAGAGTTAAATCTTTTTTTCTGGCTTGTCCAAGTTTAACTAAACACTTTACTGTAGCTACTAGAGTTTGTTCCTGTTTGAAAGAACAGGAACAAACTCTAGTAGCTAATTAGCCTAATTAGTACCTTCTTTTCTTCCGAAGCCATGATCGTAAACTTCTGTATTTAAGGATCCATCATTTTTAGCTATTAAAGCAGTTATGTGCTATAAATCATCTTACTCAAATAGAAATAGAAATAACTAACAAATTACCTGTGGCATAATAAAAGAGAAGGGAAAAAACCCCATAAATCATTCCCATATCATGTGGGTGTAGCATTTATAGAAACATCAATATAGAATACAGCTATGATTTAAAAAAAAAAAAAATAGCTACACACTTGAAGCTTGGCTAATTACCATTTCCACCAGAGCAAAAATACAAATTCTGCTGGGAAAAGTGCATATTTCAATCAAGAGATGAACACAGAAATAATTTTGACACTATCAATTTCCCAACATAAGGATAGAAAATTCTCCCTCGATTTGTATTCAGAAAACACCCCGCCCCCAAGCATCATTCAGCTATCTCAGGCCCAACTCTCTTGCTGCCCACCCAGTGCACTCTTTACACCCGTGTGACCTTGTCGGTACTACCATGATCTTTGAGATGCCGGAGAATCCCAGCAGGGAGGCTGTGGGACTGCCACCCTGTCACTAACTCAGCCTCTAGATCCTTAACGTGGGCCCTGACCATGAGGGGTGGCACTTTCAGAAGCAGGTCAAGAGGCAGCAAAGCTGAAGAAATAAAAGGAGGGGGAAAAAAAAATCAAACTGTGGCATCCATTCTGTGGCTGGGAGGAATGGGTAGTTTGGTTGCTTCAGGTGGAGTTACCTGGTCTTGGTCTGGCTCCTACGGTGCTTGTGAAGTCCCTGAAAACAAAATTAGGGGCTGTTAGAAAGTCTTTCCCGGATGTTGACAAATATGTATACTCTGCTAGAGTCTACATTATAAAAATACAGGTTGTTTCCGTCCCCTTCTCCCTCAAGACAGTCTCAAGGGTTCAATAAACACGCTCCAACAGCAAGTAGACTGACATTTTAACCAACCCCACTTGTTCACAAGCTCTAACTGTGACGAACAGCCTAAATCTTAGCGTCCTGAACGATTTTGTTACACTTAAAATCAAGATACTGATGGTGCACTAAAAAGGAAGTGCCATTTAAAACTTTACGCATGAGAGTTTCCACTAATTGGTCCTGCTGTCTTAAAAAAAAAAGGAAAGAAAAATTATTGCATTTCTTATAAAGTGAAATAATCTTTGCATTTTAAGGATTATTGTTATTCTTCATAGTGCTTCTAGTACCATGAACACCCATTGTTTGCCTTGACTGCCTGATCACGTTGAAAGTTTCTCTTAATACCTTTTACCCTGTGGATGTGGGATTTGAGGTCTTGGGGATATCCATTAGAAAATAGAAGAGGAGCCTGGTGCCATAGCCTAGCGGCTATATTCCTTGCCTTAATTAAACACACTGGGATCCCATGTGGGCATCGGTTCTAATCTTGGCAGCCCTGCTTTCCATCCAGCTCCCTGCTTGTAGCCTGGGAAAGCAGTCAAAGATGGCCCAAACTCTTGGGATCCTGCAGCATATGAGAGACCCAGAAGAGGCTCTGGGCTACTGGCTTCAGATTGGCTCAGCTCCAACCGTTGTGGCTGCTTGGGGAGTGAACCATTGGACAAAAGATCTTTCTCTCTCCTCTTCTCTGTATAACTGTCTTTCCAATAAAAATAAACAAATCTTTTTTAAAAAAGAAAGAAAACAGAACAGAACAAAATAAAACCTCGGCCTTGTTTTTTCCTACTGTAATGGGAATTCCCCCATGTTGCAATAATCTGTTTAAATGAAATAAGAAACCTCTACATTATCAGAGCTGTACTGCAATTTTATGTGACTTGGCAAAGACATAATGACAAGATCATGAGAGGTACTTGATGAGCAAGGATGAGTGTAAGAATTCAAAAACAAGTGAAGACGGCTGATACAAGTATTGCTTCAATCCTTTCATGCCAACCGCAGAATTTTTAGTTAGGTACATGCAAACTTAAGCTATTAAGCATAATGATGTCAAGAGAGTGTTGGCTACAGCAGCCAAGCTGCCACTTGGAACACGTGTATCCAGCACTACAGAGCCTCAGATTGCGTTCCAGCTACACGCACAGTTCTAGTATCCTGCTACTGTGGATGCTTGGAGGGAGCCGACAGTGAAGCAGGTGCTTCATAGTCCCCGCCTCCCATGTGGAAGACCTGAATTAAAAGCTCTTAGCTTCTGGTTTTGGCCTGGTCCAATCTTGATTTGTGGGGATGTAGGAAGAAAACCAGCACAAGAGAGATACCTCTCTCTGTGTGTCTACATATCTTTCAAACAAATAAAGTAAAACTACTCATTCGCAATATTCCCCATCCCAGGGCTGCTACCACATTTAATATAACCTTCTAGATTCTTCCTCAGGAGCTGCTGGCTATTGTCCTCACACATATAGCATTATAATCACATCACATGGCCGCTAAATTTACAACTTCACAGACCTAACTTAAAAGTTGAATGAAAATGCAGTTCTCAGAAGGTTTTTATTCGCTAGTTTATGGTTCTTCCTGAAGAGCTGGTAATGGTGCCATCAACTTTGCTCATCTTCTATGTATTTCTAAATTCTTATTTCATATGTTTTAGTGAATCTCTAAAAATAAGTACCATTCACTTATTTACTCATTCACTCAGCAAGTAGTTATCAAATATCCACCTGTGTAGGCACTGTGCCAGACACTGAAGGTGAGGTTGAAAAGAAACTGTCTCCCAGTGTTGAAAAGACTTTATGAAGATAGCAGGAAACACGAACACACACACACACACACACACACACACACACACACACACCTCTGGAAATTGCAACATAAAAAGGATATTGTCATTTTAAATTTCAAGATAGAACAGATTTCATAATGACTACAGTGACTGCTTTTAACTGTACCATTGTTGGATACACAGATGGATAAATGATCGAAATCATACTCAGCCCGAGGGAAGACTTGTTTAGATGTAATCAACAATATTTATGTCCAATAGAATATTACGACCAAAGAGCATAGTGTTTTCACAGCTGTACAAGTTAGATTCAGAAATGGGTTAATACCAAATAAAATTCCAGAAATATTTCCTGGCAAACAAAGCTTATAATAACACAATGAAGTCCCTGGCCTCTGGAAGCTTGAAATTGGCATTGACCAATAGCACTTCCAGCTAGCGAATGAATCTCAGAGAAATGGAAGATGAGAAGGATTCCAAAAGATTGTCACTGCCAGCTGTCTTCTGTGGTGGCATGATCTTATGCACAATTCAGAAGTCAAAAAGCAAACACGAGTTCTAGAAACAAGTGTTAGCAGCAACTCCCACTACAGGTTAGAACAGAAAAGCAGGAGTTAGTTTAGCAAAAGTTCGAGATTTTTCACCGAGTTGATGCAAGCAAGTGTTGAATTACTCCAATAATTATTATGTCTGGCCACGAAGGAGATGAAACTCTACAAGGTTATCTCTCAGAGGAATTTCTCTCAGTTTATCTCAGAGGGAAATATTTCCACATGACTTATATAGGTGCATAAAATTCAGTTATGGAAAGCGGACAATGCTATTTGCTGCTGACCAAACCAGAAAGACAGATTCAGCCTTTTGCGACGAGAAAGTTGGAGTACAATATTGATTAAAGGCTTTCTGAGGCTACAGAGGCCACACCATGGGAACTAATGCTTTAGAAGTTCATCCAGGTAGTGACATGTAAAAACGCGTCCTGTGTGAATAAACAGCATTTTTGGAGGGCTTTGTTCTCACATTCCGTAAGGGCTGTCATCTCTCTCTCCACAACATCAATGGAGTTAGTGTCATGTTAAGACGCCCTTGTCGTTTTCCACTCTGACATCAAGGACAGCTTGAAACAGATGAGCAACAAACCAGGAAGGCTTAGAACTGCCACAGAAAAAGACTAAAGGACTCTTATTGCCCACATATTTTTACTGCTGTTGTGCTAACCCTGCTAGGTTGTGAAACAAGCAAATGGGCCAGAGTGGCCAAAGGCTACTTATTAAATCAAACCGAAGTAAAATACACATTATGGGAAAAGGCTTGGGGGAGAGGGGGAGATGAACACAAATGAAAATAGGCAGGATTCGTGCTAAAAGGAGGCAAAAGACCCATGGGTTTAAAACAACACCAGGGTATTTTGGTTACATCTATTATGCTGGATGATCATAAACATCCACAATCACCTTTATTTGCAAATAACAGGATCCAAAGCACATTCTCAAATGCAATTATGCATGCATCAATTTACTAAAAAGTTGTGAACTACAGGAATCCCTGAGACCATAATACCCTATACCTCCAACCTGCCTGCCAACTATATTTTGTTGCCTTGACAACCAGAGGCAAGAGGCATGGAGAAATCTTGTTGCCAGAGCAACATTCTTTTAAAAAAAAAAAAGAGAGAGAGAGAGAAATAGCACTATAGTTTCAACCCTGTAGGCAAAATTTTACTCCTTTTAAGCAAGAGATAGCAGAATTTACTCTAAGGCAAGAGCCATTTATTTCTTATCAAGTATGTGTAGAGTGATACCTATGCGCTATTGAACTGTGGCCGGGGGAATGCAAAAATGAATCCAAAATAATTTGACACAAGCTTGGCACACAGTAATTAGTATGTATCCATTGAATAAATGAACAAATACTCAAGAAATTAGAAGCAGAGAGCAAAAGTTTACTAGAACCTGAGTATATGTGTGTGTATATATATACATGTGCTTATTACTGACATTGAACCCCTGCTTAACACTGCAAATACCAATTCCGCCATACAGAATTATTAATGATTAAAACGGTTCTTGGGAAAAAGGCTGTACTGACTGATATCTTTATTTAGTGGACCATGAAGTCTTTGATTACAATGTAAACTAAAACTGTCTTATCTCAAAAATGAGAGCAAGAGGAAGAAAGAGAAGAAGGAAGGAAGGAAGGGAGGGAAGGAAGTATCATTATAAGAATTGTAGCTATGAACTGCATGAAATCTGCTCTCTTTGTATCAATGGCATATTAGCATGAGGACTTTGCATTAGCTGAAACCCTGAGAATCAAACGCATTAATAAATTCCTGTAAAAATTTAGAAAAAGATAAAAACAGGAAACAGTAAAGGTATATGTATTGGGTCTGTCTATAAACTTCACATCAAAAATTGTGAAAGTCAGGACCATTGTTAATTCTAGACAACAGCGATGGAAATAGGAGCGACTGCTTCAACATTGAAAATGCTTGGGGCTGGCTATTTCGAATCAGGTCTTGTCTTGGTCTTCACATTAGTCACACTCCCTGTGAAGTGTCGCCTAGTGAGGACTGGGGTCACCACTCCTGATGCTGTGTTGCTTTCTCTGGCCTTGACCGCAGCACTTCGCTGAAACAGAAGGTGCCTTTTCAAGATCTATCAGGTCACGCTTTTCGTCCATGTGCCTGGCTCATTTTCTCAAGAAAGTCTACTTCAAGTTATTCAGCAGTCACTTTAGCTCTTCACCAGGCAATCTGTCAAATTCTGCTTCCTAATGTCTGACGTTGCCAAAAGTTGAGAATGCATGCTTAAGCTTCCTCTCCGTTAGCTAGCCATAGCCAAGTCTGAATTCAAACTCTGTGCCCAGATCGCATGCACACTCGTCTGTGGCTTCTCTTCATCTGGATCATGTTCCTTTTGCAACGTCCGGTCAAGATCCCCAGGACGGAGAGCTATCCTGAGTCTACTTCTAATTGCTACCGCTTCCATGTGAGTACGTGACAGAACAGCCAAAAAGCCTCTGCAGGCTGGAATTTCAATTTATTTATTCCATTATGTAGCTTTTATATCTTTTATGCTCACATTTCTCATTTAGCATCTAAATATTTTACAGGATGAATTCATATTTCACATTAATAAACCATGAAAACCAGGAAAATTCTAAACAAAATTAGATTGCAAATAACTGTAGTTTTATTTAATGCCTTTTTAAGAATTATAAATAACATTTTACAGTTGTCTCCTTTTAATTCAGAGAAGCCCTGCAGATTACCTGGAAGAAAGTCAAAAGGTTATTAATTTTCTCTACTTTCATTTGACATGAATCACAGGCTGTCTCTTTCATCATTTTTCTTCTAAAGTCTGACCTTGTCTTCCCATTACTCTGTGAGTTCCTTGAGGGATGAGAGCTTATCTTCCACCAACTAGTGTTCCCTGATGGCAATGTCACACTGTATGCGCCGCATACATTGCACAGATTTGCAAACATTACTTTAGATCAGGTCCTGTTCACCTTGAAGTACATTTTCCAAAGCAGCTCTCCTCGTGTGGGCCACTTTTTGTTCACTATCTGCTGACACAGGCGCAATGCCTCCCCTTCAATAAATTTCAGACTGAATTTTTTTCCCTTGAGGCTAATTCTACATACCCAATTTATCTTAAAATGTTCAGCTAACGTCTTGCTTCTTAGAGATCATCTCAAGTCCTAAAAGGTTTTTCTTGTTTGAATACTTAAACATCAACTGAATTCTTGCAAATATGACACTTTTTCAAGGACCCTTTCTAAAGAAAAAAAAAAATGAGTGATATTGTTTGGCAATGCCAAGAGTCCTAAACATAAAGTTTCCTGAGATGGAAACCTTCATTTTATTATAAAGTCTTTCAATTGAAAAATAAATTCATGCCATGATTTCCTATTGTAAAGCCCGATGACTAGCCTCACCCCAGGGACGTGGCTGCAGCCACAACTGATGCTCTAGCTGCAGAGAAACCTCGCAAGCAGGCCTTCTGCCCGTCTCTGCTCAGCCCCTCTTTCATTACTACGTGGGTAGTTCCTGGCTCAATGCATTTCTCCAAGCCAGCTGGTCCACTTTCCAGTTTACTGGAGTGTTATCACATCCATTTCTCATGTTTAACTGTACCCTCTCCAAACATAGAGAACGGCTTCCCTCCACCCCCATCTTTTCCCAGTCTACATTCTGGCTCCAAGCTACCCTGGGTCTGAACACCATTGTTTTATACCCCTCCACCCTCTCCTGTTCATTGACTTCTTGTCCTCATGATTCGAACTTATATTATATATTTCCAACAAAGCGAATTCTCATAACTCCCTCCTCACTTTCCCTGAAGTCATCCTTTTTTTCTTCCCTCTGAAACGTCTAAGATGATCATAGTCAGGCCTCTGTTCACCTAAACTCCCCAACACCATGTACGCTGCTCCTATCAGGGCACCAGAGACCAGCAAAAGATCAAATCTAGAAGTTCTGCTTCTGTCCTGTCACTGACATGATCAGTTGTCCTCAAACAAGTTTTTGTTGTTGTTGTTGTTGTTGTTATAAAAAAGAATATGCCACACACATCCCATCAATCCCTTGAGTTAGAATCTATGACATAATAAAGTTCTGACCAATGGAATGTGAGGACAAGTGATGAGAACCACATTTGAGTCATATCTTCAAATGGAAACACCTCCCCTACCTCCCCTACCTTTCTTGAAAGCTGAGTTGTAGCATGCGGCCCATTAAGCCACATTAGTTGCCATGAGGGCCGTTGAGTAATCTTGTGGAGCACACCTGTCCCTCAGTCCTGACCCATCCTTGAGCTCGGGGACACCGGCAGATTAGGTGAAGGACATAAAGCTAGGACAAGGTATAATGAAGCTAAAACTCAGTTCCAAGTTTACTGCCCTTCCCTACACGCAACTTGTGGGCAATCGCCTCTGGGCCCCTGCCTGCAACCTGGTGGGCGTGGCTTAGAGCTTTCCTGCCTATGATTTGAGGTACAGCTTTCAGGTCTACACATGGAGCGTGATCTCCAACATGACTAGAAAGTCAAGGGAAATAGATGTGTTCTATAGCCAATTACAGTGTCTTTAGTGGGTGGGGACCTGCCAGAAGATGCCCTACTGCCCTCCCCTTCCTTAACCTTTAAAACCTGTAACTTGCGCATAATAAAGCGGACATTCCTAACTGGCTTGTCTTCAGTGGTTCTCATGGTCAAAGAACACCATCGCCTCACCTTCAGTGACCTCGGGACCTGCTGGCAGTTTTAAACCCTGAGAGCAACTTGGCAAAATGTAATTGGTTCTGGGAAGGTAGGTTCTCATGGTCTCTAGTTTCACATGCCTAATGGTAACTTCTGGCTATTACATTTTAATTTATCCACCAGCAACTCAGCTCTACAAAGCCTAAAAACATTTCTAAGAGCTCAATTTGTACAGACCTTGTTTGGGATTGTCTTTCTCCTCCTGAAGCACTAAAACTTCTCTTTAGAATGCCTGAAACAGGGAAATAAAAATATATTATTTTCTCTGCAGGTATTTGTTTCCTTAAAGCTTTGTTTCTGTAGTTTGAACAACTGCCTATACAGTAAAGACTGTCCTTGTTTATGCAAATGTCAGCTGAAATGCAAAATTACACATGACCATTTAGGAGGGGAAATCAACATGGTCCCAAAGTAACCAACCACCTCCACAGAGACACCAATTTAAGCATCTATTCAAGAACCCAGACACCTTCACAAGAGGTGGGAAACTGGGTAAGAGATCGAAGTGCCTTGCACAAAAATAAGGAAAATCTGATTGAAGAAAGTAGGAAGGAAAGAGTCGCCCAGGGGTTGGCACGGTGACAGAGAAGGTTAAGCAGCAATCTTCAACTGGCATCACATATGAGTGCTGGTTCAAGTCCTGGCTGCTCTACTTCCAGTTCAACTCCCTACTAATGTGCTTGGAAAGCAGGCGAAAGTGGACAAGTGCTTAGAGCCCTGCCAACCACATGGGAGACTCAGGTAGAGGCCAAGCTCTAGTCTTCAGGCTGCTCCAACCCCAGCATTGTGGAAATTCTCTCTCTCTCTCTCTCCCTGCCCACTCCCTCCCTCCATCTCTGTAGCCTTCCCTTTCAAATAAATAAAATAATTTATGAAAGAATTGCCCATTATACCCTTCCCCCCAGTTCCAAGTAGTTCAAGATGCAGAGAGAAACCACATGCTTGGAGGAGGGAGAACCCAGAGAGAAGCCCACAGTGACAAAATTCAAAGCCACAGAGGGCACCCTGGCAGAAGTATGGACCCATACCTGATGACTGAGTACAATGGAGTGTTCATAGCCAACATGTCTCCACCATCCTTCCCATCACTTGCTGATTGACATCAGAACAAGACTACAGATTTCAGCCAAACGAAGAGGCTGAAAGAAGTTTAAGTCTGTTGGGGACTAAGGAGTTAACTCCTGCATGAGCAGTAGCAGTAACTGGGCTTGCGGCTACAGCAGAAGCACAGGTTGAACTTATAACCCTACAAAACACCTAGACTCATTGAATGGAATGAGCAGAATTGGACTCAGCTGTATGCAATTGCTTGGCTAAAGGATTTTGTGGCAAGGGTATATAAGGAGAGGTGAAAAAGTAATAGATACTTCGGAGAGACTTCTATCATCACTGGCCTCCTGTCGGTGCTTCATCCCCAGACCCTCTCCCTGTCCACATTACTGGCTCCACTGGCCAGAGCACAAGACAGTGCCTTGGAGTTCCGAGCTCAGCCTGCCACCTTGATATTTAGCACCTGCAGCCAAACTGATCACTGACAAAGTTACTAAGAACTCACAAGCATCGTCTTTTCAGTGGATGGTGCTGGGAAAATTGGAGACATACATATAAAAGAATGAAACTACACCCTTGTCTCTCACTATGTGTAAAAATCAGCTTAAAGGGGATTAGAGACCTAACTATAAGACCTAAAACTTAGAAACTAATAAAAGAAGACAAAGGCAAAATACTTCAGGACACTGGGATGTGAAAGAATGTTCTGGATGAGACTCCAAAAGCATAAGAAATGAAACCAAAAACACACAATTGGGATTTTTCAAACTAAAGAAGAATGTACAGGGCCAAGAAAAAGCCTACATAAAGGGAAAAATCTTTGCAAGCCATTCATCACACAAGGGATTCACTTCCAGACTATGTAAGAAATCCGACTTGATTATAAAACAAATAAGCTAATTAAAAATGGCTTTATGGGGAGTGAACCAGCAGATGGAAGATTCTTCTGACTCTCCTCTCTGTAAAATCCGCCTTTCCAAGTATAACTTCAATAATTTAATCCATACTGGTTTTTTTTGTTTGTTTGTTTGCTTTTTTTGGCTGTATCCCATGTGTTTTGATGTTTTTTTTTTTTATTTTAGTTTGGCTTATTCCAAATAATTTCTTTTCTCTTTTCGAATTCATCATGGACTCACGTATTATACAATGGCATCATTTTTCCCAAGAGACTTCTGTGTTTCCTTTTTGTCACCCATGTGTTGGTTACTCACCGGCGCATTTTTTCATGGTGCTGTAATTTGTTGTTATTGTTGTTGCTGTTCTAACTCATACCAGTTGTTGACCTTGTTTCATGGCTTCCTACTTATGGAAATATATAGTGATGGAGTACTGGGGTCTATCATATATAGATATGGGGGTATAATGGAACATGCATCCCTGCTTCCAGACGAAAGATGGATTCCCAATGAAATTGTTGGACATGTGTAGACAATGGGATGCTGCAATGTCTGACACTGTTTGTACCAACAGTGTCGGAGTACACTTAAATAAGAGACTGACAGAAATATGATTCCTTATGAAGGACTACACTGTTGTAACAAAATGGGAAAAACCTGACGGGGGGGGGAGTTTGGGGGGGAATCCCAGCCTAAATAAAATTGTACCATGTAATTCAAAATTCAAAATAAAAATATATTTAAAAAATCTGCCTTTCCAAATGAAATAAAAATCTAAACAACAACAACAAAAACTAAAGTAAGTTCAATGACTTTGCCTCTTTCTTTTCTTCTTATCCTCTTTTCTCTCATCATCCCCATGGTTATGTAACAGTAAACTCATTCCAAAATAGTCACTAATGACTAGAATTTTCCATGTAGCATGAGCTGCTTTTCCTGTGCTTATATTCATGTTTTCTCAATCACAAATCCAAATTGTTTTCTAGAATAGAAGAATTTACAGAAAGGAAAAAACTAGGACAGGATATTGGACATTCTGATTGTGTCAACAAATATGGACCAACTATTTGGATGGACCAATTAAGTTTGGAAAAGACAAAGGATGTAGCTAAACCCTTGGGGTTCCACTTAATCTTCAGAGGGACTGCTGAACTCTTTGAGATGTTTTTTCAATATAGTCAGTGAGGAGAGGGAATTCTTTACATTCAACTTATTTCAGGGAATTCCTGTATATTCTTTTTGATGTTGTGCAAGCTCAATCTTATTAAAAATTATTTTTCTTCTCATTTCAAACTTTAACATCGCTGTGCTTCCTGTTTCACATCTGTTGATTGTACGGAGAGTCCTATCTCTCCTTATAATCTCTACATTTTATCTAAAACTGTCTTTTCTTTCACATGTCTCACACTATGTTGTTATTGTTTCAGGCTAAGAGTCAGCACTAACATGTAGACCGACTGCAAACATCACGGTTTTTCAACATTCCAAAAAATGCAAAAAATTCTCTTTTAGTGTTTTCAACGTCATACACCCCTTTTCAGTCATCGGGAAGAAAACTGAACAAGAATTCCTGTATACTAAAAGTAATCTCTTCCACAGGCTTTTCAACTTCTCTAATCAAAAAAGAACCATAGAAAGTCATTTTCATTATTCAGGTCATTATTTAGCTGTCTTCAAATTAGTTATTTCAACTCCCCAGTTAGAACATCTATTTCCTGGCAGAAATAGTGATGTTATTTATTTGCTAGCCAGAGAGATGTAAAAGTCGGTGAATCAGTTGGCCTTTGGGTTCTGTTAGAGAGACAGACACATCTGTCCTTGCTCGTTACAACACTGGGAAGCAAACCACTGGCTTGTGTGGATGGTGATCTTGGCTTAATGCAAAATCTGTTGTGAAATCACTCCCCCACCCCACAAGTCCCACAAATGGCAAATTGTAAGGTAAGTAAAGAAAGCTTACTGAATGTAGATTCTTTCAAGGGACTTGAACTGGAGCTGCTGGAATTATCGGAAATATCCAACTCATCATCCAGCTCTGAATATATATCTGTGTAGTAACGAGAATACATTAAAAAGAAAATGAACTTGAAAACAGAAAGGAGCCAAGGACTCATTCACGTTTACACGCTTTCCCTGGAGTTACCTTTCTCGATATTTTCCAGATTGAAGGCATCCTCAGACAGGATTTCATCACAGGCCCTGTCTTCATCCTTAGCACTGGGGGCGTGGAAACCATCAGAGGGCAGGTCGACACTTTCTGAGAGTTCACTTTTCAGGCTGGCTGCTCCACTGCTACTGCTACTTAAGCTTGCCTTCTCAAAGATTTCCTAGAAAAGAATTCAGTCTTTCACAGGCTTTTCTTTTTTCATTCTGCAGGACTCAAAAGTTGCGAGAATCCACAATGAAGCACTTTAACTATTAGGATATAATTCATAGTTTATGCAGAAAGTGCTGCCATAGTTTTACCCATACACCTGCTAAGGAATTCAATCAGTCCATAAAGATGAAAAAAATAGGTCTACAAACTACCATTTAGGGAAAAACAGCATGGGTATTGGAAGAGCATGCAATGGCAAAGGGTTAAACAATTGAACGAAAAATGTGTACCCCTAGGCACTGATCTATATCCTTGAAGTTCTTTCCACAATATTTACTGTCAAGTTCTCTTACACCACAGTAGAAAAGAAAAGCTTATTTTCCTCAAAGCTTTAGGGAAATTAGTAGTGGAAAAGCTAGGCCATGGGGAAGAAAAGGAGTGATGCTCTGAATGATAAAAGCTATAGCAAAGAACACTTCAAACTGCTTAGGTCCCTACACACTGCCTGGCTGGAAGAGTCTCAGGTCTGGGGAGGACCTGCAACATCACCAATCTGACCATATGAGGCTACAGTTCCCTAAACATTAACATCAGACACCGCAAAAACTATGTGTGAAGTTCAGTTTTTAAAAGGAAGGAAGGAAGGAAGGAAGGAAGGAAGGAAGGCAGGCAAGCGAGAGAAAGAAAGGAAAAAGATTAGTGCCATTCATTGCTGGGCTACTCTTATTTTTATAAGGAAACAATACTGGGGAAGGGCTATATATGACTGAATGGAAAAAAGCATTCCCTTATTTCCTTCTTTAAAAGATTATTTGGGGCCCGGCAGCATGGCCCAACAGCTAAAGTCCTTGCCCTGAGTGCGCCGGGATCCGATATGAGCACCGGTTCTAATCCCGGCAGCTCCACTTCCCATCCAACTCCCTGCTTGTGGCCTGGGAAAGCAGTCGAGGACGGCCCAAAGCCTTGGGACCCTGCACCCATGTGGGAAACCTGGAGGAGGTTCCTGGATCCTGGCTTCAGATATGCACAGCACCAGTCGTTACGGTCACTTGGGGAGTGAATCATCAGACGAAAAGTCTTCCTCTCTGTCTCTCCTCCTCTATGTATACCTGACTTTTCAATAAAAATAAATAAATCTCACCAAAAAATTGTTTGCTTGTTTGTATTTGTCTGAAAGGCAGAGCAAAGCAGACCTGTGTCGGTTATGGGGGCTGGTAATCTACCCAAGTCTCCCACACAGACTGCAGAAACCAGAGTATTTGACCCATCATTTGCTGCCCCCCTCTTACTAGAAAGTTGGATCAGAAGTGGAGGTGGGACTTAAACCAGGCACTCCATCATGAGGTGTGAGTCTCCCAAGCTACAGCTTAATTTATGACTCAACCTACAGTGCCACAATTCCACAACTCCACTTGTTTCTTTGCGCAAGTAAATCTCAATACCTAAACCACCCATTCTACGGAACCGCTGTCTGGTACCTTCTTAGGCTGAGGGGTTACATGGTGGTGATAAACCTAAGAAACCGATTGAAGAGCAAAGAACAGAACGGAAAGCCATGGAAGGAGACAGGTTAGTACTGGGAGAGTGTGAGGAGCAAGCAATGAATGTGTGCCAACTCGACAGATCACATTCTTTTTTGTTTATTTCACATATATACTTCTCAATAACTAAAGTGATTGCCACAGCCTCCAAGAATAGGCTCCTAAAAACTTGTTGGTGTTGGAATGTACAGTTGAACAACTGAGATCTCACACGTAACTGTAATTAGAAGAAAACCCCAGAAGCCTTTTGTGAACTTATGTCCTCCAAACATTTTGAAAACATTTTGCTACATTAATTCAACTGGATTTAGCAATTCATTTATCTAAAGTGAGCAAAATATCAATGCCAAGACATTTTTCTTTAAGCAAATGAAGAGTAGGAGAAGCTGTGACTACCAAGACGGGCAATTTCAAACTTGCGAAGGTTTGACCTACAACTAGTATCCAAAAACCAGTTGGATGGTGGATCAGCAATCACTTGCAACTGCTGACACTACATACAAGGGAGTATATGAATGTATGCAACTCTGATAAAAATGAATTCATAATCAGGAAGAGAATCTTTTTCAGACTCCCTGAATATGAACAGTATGATAATATATAATGTATAAGTTGCTTCGGCTGAAATCTACATTTCCAAATAGCTTCTTTTTTTTTAAAGATTTATTTTTATTATTTTTTTATTGGAAAGCCGGATATACAGAGAGGAGAGACAGAGAGGAAGATCTTCCGTCCGATGATTCACTCCCCAAGTGAGTGCAACGGCCGATGCTATGTGAGCGCAACGGCAGATGCTATGATGCTATGCCGATCTGAAGCCAGGAGCCTCTTCCGGGTCTCCCACGCGGGTGCAGGGTCCCAAAGCTTTGGGCCGTCCTCGACTGCTTTCCCAGGCCACAGGCAGGGAGCTGGAAGGGAAGCGGGGCTGCCGGGATAGAACCAGTGCCCATATGGGATCCCGGGCGTGCAAGGTGAGGACCTTTAACCACTTGCGCCACCGCGCCGGGCCCAATGATACCTCTTCTAACAAGAACCTAAACCTGTAAAGGGAATTGGGTTTTTTTTTTTTAAGATGCAATTTAGGGGTAAAATTGGGCTACTAGAATCTACTTTATTATCCTTGAATTTTTCCAAGGAATAGGAGAGGAAGTTAATTAGATTTTTTTGGCACTAGCATCTTATAGGAATGAATAATGGAACAAATTTTGTGAATCAATATGCAGCAAGGAGAATACAGTGAAAATCAGACAACAAAATTATCTCTAATATGGAAATCATTGCCATCACAGAAAATGCTTCCTGTCATAACGCTGGCATAGGCACAATCATGTTTAACTCACTTTTGCTCATTATCATGTATTTTTTAATGTGTGTAGCACATCATAATACATTTTTCATTGAATAGCAATTCTAACAGTAACAGACTGGCATTACCCAAATTAACTGTAACACTTGGGGAAGAGTTAAAGTCTATTTTATTAAAAATAGTGCAGTTTTTAGAATTTCCCAGAATGCTAGTATTATAAGGAGCAAGAAGAAGAAAGTCAAGAAATAAATTACCAAGAATAACACTAAGTATTCTATAGATATTTTACTTCAGAGCCATAAAAAGTGCACCATTTCTGTTGTGTTCTAGAATATTCTTGTTCTACTGGCTGTATCTACATCCAGTTTTTATCATTTGTCTAGTTATTAACTACCTTTAAATCCATATGTTTAAGTCTGCCAGATTCTTTCAAGAAATGCATCTGGCTGTTGTAATTTTTTTTTTAATCAGTAGCAAACCACATTCTATGCTTTACATGGATGATAGCGCAAATAAAGTTCAAAATAGGAGACTGCTCATTGACTGCATAGTATTATACAGAAACTTAGTCCCCGAGCTGCAAAATACTCTAAAAAACTGAAGAAGTCATGTAGTTCAGGCCATAGCTAAGGGCACTGCCACTTCAGCAGGTGCAGAAATAGACTTTCCTTTAGGCCTTCCTTCCTCTGGTAGGCTGTGCACAGGCAGACACGTCAGCACAGGAAATAAGCAGTGAGCCTGTGTCTTATCCGTGGGAGACTTCTATTCCTGCACAGCATTCTACTGTGTCTTTTTTATTGTTATTATTCTTTATTTTTCATGATACAGTTCCTCGGGATCAGGAATTTTCCCCTTCATCCTCCCACACTGCCTCTCCCTTGCACTCACTGCTCCCCCTGTATTGTAACGATAGTCCCCCTCAACAGCAGTCACAAGCCCATCATTCTACTCTTTCAGTGTACCCTGAGATTGTAGGTATACCGAATGGTATAAAGTCCAGCATTCCAGTGTCAAGATAGGTTTGTGGGGCGTCTAAGGCACTGCTTTAATTTTGTGAAAGCATAGAACATTTCCAAAACAAGTCATGATCGCTCCCAATATTTCTTTCCTTGCATCATTACTTGTTGCATTTTCACAGCCTTGGGGGAAATTCCATCAACAATTAACCAGACAATAGAAGCAAAGATGTTCACTAAAATATTGTCCTCTTAAAATACATCATTTTCTACATGGCTTAATTTAATGTTTTAATAGCGGGCTGCAAACACGGGCCTTCAGTAGTGTGCTCAGTAATTGTGAATGGCATATGGTATAACAACAATAAAGCAACTCAGATAAGTAATTCACACCTTTTAATTTGCACCAAGAGGATAAGAATCTGAATGTTTACCATCAGTCCAATTCTTATAAGCAACTTTAAAAATATCTGGAGAATGTTAGAAAAAAGTAAATATCTTCCAATAAAGTTTGCGAAGAACATATGCAGATTTTATTAGATGCAGCAAGCTTGCCATTAAAAAGATGAATTAAAAGCTTTGTGAATGTGAAAAACAGTCTTTGCTGGGACCTATTCTCCCAGCTGCCTTGTCCTCTAAAATAGACTAAAATTTCAGATGACACAAGTGCCACAGTTCAACTGTTGACAATATGAGATCATCGCAGAAAAAAAATTAAAAAAACGAATTTGCCAAAGGTTGAAGTTCTAGAACTCACTACATGAACATTAACTCATCATCTTAAGTATGAGATCATTTTTTTAATTATATTTTTGACAATCTTCACATGTTCAATTAGGGTAAAAAGGTTCAAGGGCTATAGGAAAGTGGACAAGGCCATCACTTCCACATTGTTTCCTTCATGTTTAAAAGGAGGGTATTAAGGGAGAAGGCCCACCCAATCTCCCACCCTCCCCAGGTCCCAGGTGTAGGGCACGCTCTGAAGTTCTTGTTCAAGTGGTTTTGATAGTTCCCCAGTTATGAATTCCCACCAATCTCGCCACGCCAAGCACTATGAGGTCTCTGAAGAATCCACTGATTGACATAGTCCACCACAGAGTCTCCGCTTGCCCCGTATTTCGCTACCAACATATATCTGAGATGGTTGATTGACCCGCTCTGTCCTCTCTCTCCTCTTGGTTAGGGTTCTGAGTCCGTCCTTTCAATT